CTACGTACCCTACAACAACTGGTCCACATAATTGCTTCTGACATCAGATCCAAACACCATGAGTTTTGAAAATTTATATTAGATGTTCCGCACACTCTTAATTTGTCATTCTACACTCTTTCTTGAGTCTTCTAGTCTGTCATCCTACACTTTTTCTCGAGCCTACTAAAATAACAAAATATCGATTTTCGAAAATACAGAATGACAAACTAGGAGTGTGAATAACAATTCCCTATATTTTCAATTTAAAACCAAATAGGGAGAAGAGGATGATGACTACCAGTTCCATTCTCCGGAACCACCTGCACACTGATCATTGATTGGCCAGGAGTACTTTGTCCTTTTGATCCAAAGTCACGTTTTCTCAAAAGGGGTGTTTTTGGATGGCATGCCTCCTCTCTTTCATTTTCTGAATTCTCTCAACATCTTATCTGAAGCTGTAATTAATTGGGCAGCTGCATGTTAAGCACTGAGAGATTAGCTCAACCAAGTGTCTCTTACTAAATGGAGACAAAGTACCATGATCCCATTTCAGGATTATCTGCATAGTGAATGAACCAAATAATTTGAAATTCAAAAAAAGAAAAAGGCACAGCAGTGGACTAGCTAGCCACTATATTATGATTCTGCATAAAGGGTGACCCTAAAACCAAAAGGGTTGCTCCTGCCATGATATACCCCATCTGCTTCTATATCTATAGCTTCAAAGTCAAGCAAGCAACTTTGGTCCCCTCCATAACAAGCCAATCAACAATGGGTATTAGAATTTTATTATATATATATACTGCTCTGCAGATGTGCAGGCTTTTTGAGCTTTGGATGTATACAAGTCAGCTGAACTCAGAAAAGCAGAGTGGAACTCACCAAATATAATGCTGCAAGTACAACTGGGTTGGTCTCAAGAAAATGCGGCTATATATACATATATATCATTATGCAAAATCTAACAATAAGCATTAGCTAGATAGCATAGATTAGCATTTGTGCTAACTAGGTTTAATAATGCATATTCTGCCAATGACAAAGTGCGCATTCTGAATGCCTTTTACATTGATTATATATATTTATATAGTCATGATTTATGGTTGTTTATAGTTCAAAGTTCAAACTTGTTGATATTTATTTGCATCGAGATTCAGGATGCATGCATGTCCTAGTACTTTAGTTTGGCGTTGTCCCACGAGCACTACACGTTGGAGATCCATCGGCTGCTAGTGGGAAGATAGTGTGACATATTTTCCGGTGAAAAGCTTGCCAAAATATAAGGAATATATTCAAACACGGTTGTTAAACAATTGCCTGCGCATGCATCTAGTTTCTCCAACATGACTAGGAGATATTGCTTGATATGAGACCGACGTGGTGGAACTTCTCCCTACAAAACCAGCTTATAAGGGAAAAATGCCCAAGAGTTATATACCATATTCTCTAACTACATATCTAGTTTTGCATGATGCTTTAGTTGCAGACTCTCTTTAATTTTCTTGTTTTTAGAAATCTTTTGTGCGGCTGGTATGTGGTATTCTTTCCTACTCTGGGGGTTTTATTTCACGTGGTTTTTCTCGAGAAGGTTTTAACGAGGCCACTTTTTCATGCCCTTTTATACACACTCTTTTCAATTGAATGGAATGAAACCTACCGCTTCCTCTCAAAACTCTATTTATATATCTCTTAACACAAGTAAATTTCATTAATAAACAAATATTGGCTTTAAAACAAAGAATTTTAGAGTAAAACTTTCACACATGTGAAGTACAACCCATTAATACACTAAAAGACCTATTAACAATGTGATAAATATAAAACCATTGATAACCCAACCCATTAACAAAACAAACTCACATTGACAACCGAATCCTTTAATACAAGAACTAAATAACCCAACCCATTAACACAACAAAACTCATTACCCAACCCATTAATAGGCATCAAACTTAATGATAAAGAGAAAATGAGAGACTGAAGGTGAACCAAAAATACAAACCAGACTCATCATACATAAGATAAAAGCTGAGACAGAGGTAGAAATCAGATTTCCACCTTGCCTACAATACCGCCCACAGAGAGGCAGAGCGAGTGCCGGTGTCATATTCTTTAAGCTGCCATGCCTCTCTATGGACAAAATCACAAAGAGTAACAAGGAGAAGAGAATAAGTTGTTGGTTGGTTGGTTGGCTGGACAGCTAGAGATATGAGTTTTTTTTTGCTGGGCTAACATAGCTAGAAAAAGAGAATGTTGCAAGCCAGTTTTCAGTTAGCTTGAAAAAGAAGAACTGGGCTTCTGGAAGGTGGGCCTTGGGCTCTAGAAAGTCCCTACAAAGTTGTTGATACTTCTGGAAATTTTAATCACCACACCCAATTAGATTTCTAATGAATTCCGCATTTACTCACTACACTCCTGAATATTTAAAGTTAAAACGTAATTAATCCTTAAACTAATTATAAAACCTAACAGACAATCTCATGGTGGTTGCTTATGTGAATATTATTGATATTTAAAATCTGGGATCGATTCCAACTCATAGCCCCGTGAACTTCTTTTTGGATTTTAAGTTAACACACAAGTTTGTCGTATAGAATTGTTGGGTATTCGGATGATGGATGGATTTACGTTTAAGGAAAATTTGGTTTTAGCCAAAAAAAAATTTTCACTTTTGGAAAAAGCCAAAGCTTTTTCAAAAAAGACAGAAAAACCTTTCAACTTTCAAATCAAAGACATACAAATGTAAAGGATTCATTAGGAAATCCAAAAATAAATAAGGGCAATTTTGTCCATTTTGGCTTCTTTTACAAAATTTCTCTCTCCTTTGTGTTTTTCCAAAGTCTCCCGGAAATTTGAATTTGAGATCTCTTCTAATATTGGAATAAAAGTAAAACCAAAATTAAGAGCCAGTTCATCCTTTATCTTATTTATATATATATATATGTGTTTTTATATAAGCGATATTAAGAAAGGGAAAATCTAACTTAGGATCTCGAGTGTAAAGATAAATGCTCTTAACTACTTGAGCTACAAATTCTTGTACTTTATCTAAAGTTAAATGAATATACCAAGTTTTTCTGAGTAAGAAATTTGAGTTTTGAGGTGGTTGCCTTATTAAGACCAATTAGAGAAATAAACTCAAATATCTTAAAAAGCTCTTGCTTCACTGGCCTAGTAGTAACACTAACAGTAAATAAATAAGGGAGATTCACTATTATACCCAATATGAGGGCCCAAATTATAAAAATACCTCATATGAAATGGACTTTAGAAACACACCTAAAACTCATTTACAACATGACAAAAAAGCTTTTAATTTCTTATAAATAACAAAACTGCCATCAATTTCTTAAAACAAGCCCAACTCCAAAATCTCATAAAAATACCCAAAACACTCAATAGGACATCAAAATAATTTAATAATCAATATTAAATTCAATAAAGTCAGTTGTCATTTTTTGGGTTTGTTTATATAAATTCAATTGTGTAGGGTTTATTTATAATATTAGTGCTAAAAATGAGTATATCACTAAATATCTCAATAAATATTTGTATTGGAATACAAAAGAAGAAATCCATTAATTTCAAATGATTAATCGTATCTCGTCCTTTGAAATCCCAAATATCATATGTAATTATTTCAAATGCATTGTATCTAACCCCCAACTAATTATTCAAGCAAAATTAGAAACCAACTACTTCTTACTTATCTAATTACATTTTTCTTCTCATAATAATGACCGTACCGAATTATCCTCGTGCACCGCCAGGATTTACTATATAGAAAAGGATACGTTGTTTCGATTCCATTTGACCAAAATTACAAACCAATCACAGACTTTGCGTACTTGTGGTTTTGGCTTAGCATTTGAACTACCGAACATGCAAGTATCATCAAACCATGTCTGGAAATCGAACGTGTTCCAACTTCTCCAGCTCAGTCCTCATTGTCTTCCATGTCATGTCAAGCATAGGAACAAATCCAGCTCATCCTGTTTGCTATTATTATTATTATTAAAAAATAAAAGAAAGAAAAAGTTAGAAAATATACTAATTTTCTGTAAGAAAAGAAAAAAAAAGAGGAAAGAATTCTTCCTGGTACAGCCTACAGGCAAAAAATGTGCGTTACAAAAGCGCGGACAGGCAACATTTCGCGGGACCCACAAATTTGGCGGTGCTCCGATAATCCTCTAAACTTACCAAATCACCACGCAATTATTGCCACGACGCCTCATGTGGCCGCCGGTTATTGGTTTGTCAAACTGGCAAATGACCCCACCTTTAAACAATCCAGCTGTATAAAAAAACCCCACAATGTTCTATAAAAACTTTAAATAAAAAAAAACCTTACAAGGACTTATGGTTTTATTTATTTATTTATTAAACAATGACTTATAGTTTGAGTGATTAAGAATATTTATCTATAAATGACTCATTAATGTAGTGGTTTGGAGCAATTTTTCTGTCTAGGAAATGTCTTGGGTTCGAGTTTACTTCCCTCATTAAAGGTCCTAAATTCGAGTCTTAACAATCATATAATAAATATGAATTTAATATATTATCGTCTCTCTTAATAAAAAAAATTATCAAAAATATTTTTTCACGCAGCCGAAGTGATAAAAACTAAAAAAATAAAAACCCCGCGTTTTAATGTCACAGCCAAAGCCCAAAGTATCAATTGGTGGGCGTGTCACATGAAGCCAAATGGGCCCCAGCCAGACTGTGTCTAGTCTAGCGCCACATTACTTAATACTTACATACATGGCCTGTTTTATGGGCCCCGGAAAAGAGGCCGAACCTTCTTTTCGTCTTTGTTCGTTCATCCAACGGCTAAATCCGACCCCATCTAGAACTGGGTCCCGCTTGATGTACGCTCCAGATTAAACCTCTGTTTCTTCCCGTTGAGATCCGGACTATATATATAACTCTCTCATCGTTTTCCACTCTCACTCTCTCTCTCTCTGTCTCTCTCTCTATCTATCTATATTTCTGTTTGATTTACATTGTAATCGATAGAGATGGAGCGTAACAACGTGTTCACAATCGCACTCGTCTGCATTCTCGTCGCCGGAGTCGGAGGCCAAGCTCCGGCAGCCGCACCGACAAAGTCTCCGGCGACTCCAGCTGCAACCACACCCACTACTTCACCACCAGCTGCAACCACACCCACCACTTCACCACCAGTTGCAACCACACCCACCACTTCACCACCAGCTGCAGCTCCTACAAAGCCCAAGTCACCATCTCCAGTCGCTTCCCCCAAATCGGCTCCACCCGCTTCAACTCCGGTGTCGGCAACACCCAAGCCTGCGGCCGCGGCTCCAACTCCGGTGGCTACTCCTCCTACTGTAGCCGTTTCACCTCCATTGCCAGCTCCAGTGAGCTCACCACCTTCTAAGGCTCCGGCCAGCTCCCCACCGGCTAAATCTCCTCCGGCAGCCGCTCCGGCTCCAGTTGCTGAGCCACCGACTACACCTGAGGCTCCGACTCCAGCTCCTAGCAAGAAGAAGCCTAAGCACAAGTCTCCGGCGGCTGCTCCCACTCCAGATTCGGACAGCCCACCCGCGCCTCCGGCTGAGGCTCCTGGAGCAGCAAGCCCCGATGCTTCAACCCCTGGTCCTTCTGTAGCTGACGATCAGGTAATGCTGAGCTGGATTTTATTTGGTTCATTTTTTGTTTTCGAATTTTTGTCTAGTTTAGATCTAAAATGCGCAGTGGGTGCAATGCGCACCCAGATCTGGAACTTTCGGTTCAAAATCAACCCAAGTTATTTACAAACATTGATTTAGTTGGCTGGATTCCACTCACTGTACTGAAACCCCGACCCTCGAGGTCTTTTGCTTCGCGCTGAGAGCCTCTTTTCTCACTCATCAAAACGCTGCGTTTCAGTAATGTTCGCTGTGCTTGCTCACTCGCGCTGCTTTAGAGCGTGTAGGTGGCGCTATGCTTTGAATCTCATCCAGATCTGTTGATGATATGGGATCTGAGTGGTAGGTGGTGGGTTATCCCGCCATCGACGGCCAACCGCCTGCACAACATGGTCACGCGCCACCATCGGTGGTGGGTAAAGTTGGCTGCTAATTTACTTAATTGCCCTCGCTAATTTTACCCCTGCCCCCAGGCATTGAGTCAGGAGTGTGTCATTATTATAATCACATGTGCTGCATGAATCATGATGGAAGTAAATAAATAGTTATTGACCAAAAAAAGGAGTAAATAAATAGTTGTCGTTTATTGGTAAATATTAAATAGTAAATAAATCGAATTAGTACTTACCCTTTGTATTTTGTGAATTAAAATAAATTGGGTTCTGAAATACTTTTGAAAATGCAGAGTGGCGCAGTGAGGTGCCTGCACAAGGTAGCCGGATCCATTGCATTGGGATGGGCAGTTTTGGCATTATTCTAGAGATTGAGATCGGGAGCTGCTGGTACTCTGAAATGGAACAAGGACGGTGTTAATTTGTTGTAATGTTGTCCTTATTATTTTAATCTTTTGTCCACCGTTGTGTTCATTATTACAGATCTAGAAGAAGAATTCATATTTATTTACCATTTATTTCTCTGAAAAAACCACTTTTATTAATTTATCCTTTGTATTCTTTTGACACATCTCAATTCACTCGCTCCTTTGTCTTGGTGACTGTCACTTTACTCTTTCCCTTTACTTTCGGTCTGTTTTATTGCTTATGTTGGATCTTACCTTAAGGTTCTTTTGGTTGCTTTGGTTGCTCGGCCTGGATTGAATTGGATTTGATTGGATTGGATGCAAAGTTCAAACCCATAATATTCCCATCCTCTGGTGGTGGCTCGGCCTGGATTGGATTGGATGTAAAGTCCAAACCCTTATATTCCCATCCTTCTGGATGAGATTTCTAATCAACACTACTCTAGACTATGTTAGACTGTTGTTTAATTTAAAGTCCATTCCTAGCATACCGAATAACGGTTAAGATATTTCTCCAATTTAATTGGAACAGCTCAAGAAAAACATCGATTGAAAGTGATCTTTATTTTGTTAAGTGACAAGGATTTGCATCTCTAAATCTGATGGGATGGGTGAAAAAAAAAGGGGGGTGGGCTGAGTAATTTGCATCATATAAAGTTTCTTACCTACCTCTGTATTTGTACTGTTGTGATTAAATTTGGATAGTGAATGTGTTTCAAATCTGGTTTTGTAGTCATGTTTGCAACGCCAACATTTATGTTGCACCCCAACCTGAATGCATGAGCAGTAAATAGGACCATGGGTTGGGCCAACAACAAGTTCTTAAGTAGGTTAAAATGGTAAAATCATGTTTTCTTTTTTGGTGCATTGATCACTGGATGGATATGATCAAAACCCATTGATATGTACCTTTTATTTATGTGCCATTTATAATATTTTGCATGCTGGCATTATTTCCTTTCCATTTACATAATGAAATGTGATTGGTGACACCAGAAGAAACTAGAAAGAAAGAAAGAATTAGCAGCCTGTAAAGGCACCAGGAATCTTTTTCCTTCCAGCTGCAAGTCATTCTGTCATCATTTCTACTTCCAACCAACCGTGGAGATGAAGCTAAATATGGTGGACATATCAGGCTAAATGGTGAGGGAGAGGATGGAAAAATTGTTTACAACTTACAAGTATGATTTGAAAAATTCCAATGTAAACAAAAAAGAAGAAAATTATGAAAATAATCCGAGGATTATAATAGTTGGTACTCGTAGTATTAAGTTGTTTTTATTTTTCAACAAGCGATAGTATAAATTATTATAAATTAATCTAATCTAAAGAAAGAGACATTCGAACTTAAGTACAGAGAGACACTGGCTCAACCAATTGCCCTATATTAGTAATAAGAAAATTCCAGATGCAACGATACTTGAATTCCGAAAGTTGTCTTGAGGGGAAAGGAATCTCAAAATGGTATAAAATAAGTGTTGCCAAATCATTCATTTTTATATAAAAATATATTTCTATTTTAAAGTGTTGTAATAGAATGAGCACTACGACGACAACATCGATCTGGTGATTGGAGGAGAGAAACTTTGAATCTACAAATCATCTCTCCACGTTTTTCTCCTTCGTAGGGTAGGATTGTGCTGTCTTACATAAGATTTTTTTTTAACACGTCACTTTCTTTAAGCCCAACCAATTATAATTGAGGAAAAAAGCCCATATCATTCATTGCCATTGGGACCACTTATTTTTCTTGAAAGTTCTGTGAGATTGAGTTAGTCATCGGAAGAACGACCAGCAAGTTCCCTCTCTACCACCTTATGTCGTATTTCGATATAATACAATTTATGGAACGACACATGTAGTTTCATGGAAACTTCCCTTTTTTTAAAAAAAATCTTCCCCAAAACGAGGCTGAAAATTTTGGCTGCAACGAGTTTCGTACCCTATTTTCTCTCACCAAGAGAGATACAGAGAGAGTGAAGAATGAAACTCGTTACACCCAAATTCTCACTATTCAAAGACACGTCATGAATTTTGTTCGATGCAGTCGGCATCCAAAACTAACAGAGAAAAATAAATGGAAAATATCTAGGTTAATGATATTTAGAGACAACACGTACAAATACAATCCAAAAGTAATGCAATATGCTAACATGATTAAGAATATGGAGTTAATTATATCAATTCGATCTAATTTTGTAGATAAAAGTCTCGACTTACAGGCTAATAATTTAATGTTTGAAATCTCATAATTCCTTTGTAGCGCGTGTAAAAAAATCTAACTACATGTAGTTTAGTCTATTATTTGTATTGAAAAAAAATTGAGGATTGAATTGCCACCCCTTTTTGTGTTCTGTAGCATTTGAGCATGCTGGACAAATATGCCAAGGTGATGTGAACACTGTGCTTATCTGTTTCCTTTCTTTTTTGACATGTGGTTCTCCTTTCAGAGTGTCTACTTCACTTGTTCCGTACATGTCCCATCAGCACATGTCTCACGGGACCTCTCTATTTACTCACACTCCCATTGCATTTGCACTCAGAAAACCAAACAAGGAGGAGAAGAAGAAGAAGCAGAGGAGCCATGGCTAGCTCCAGCTTACAAGCTCGGTATCTCTCTGCTGCTGCTTTTTGTATGGTTTTTTTTTGCGGTTAGCAATTGCTGACCACCATTTTAGCTAGGAAAGACCAACTGCTGAGAAAAAGAAAAAAAAAAGGGAACCAGCTTTGTAATTATACCAGTTATAATCTACAAACAACTCTCGCAGATTATCTGGGAATTTTAGGAGATGATTAGTAGACTACTTTGAAATATATCTCTCTTTATGGGTTTACAGAGAATGAAACTGTTTTGGTAGATACCCAGATGTCCAATTACACTGGTTTAGAACAAACATCCATTTCTTTTTCTCGTAAGTTGGCCAAAAATTTATATTTCTTTGTTGGTATGTTTTCGTTGGCTTCAAACTGCCATTTCACGAAGGAACTCTGCCTTCTCGTCACGCTTGCCGACAACCCGCTTTCTATCCCCCCAACCAAATTTGAGTCATGATCTGTTATGTAATGCAAAAGATGGTGGAACGATTCTAGAACTGACCTGAGTGCCTTGATGCATATGCTCTTTTGTAATTGTTATATTTTTAATAAAAACTTTGTTACTTAAATTAGTATTTTTATTCTTTTTAATTAATTTATTTTATTAACTCCCTTGTTGGATGCTCACGCCAGGTACCTTGACTCCTGCAAAAAGCATAAGGTGCAACCCAATTCAGCAGTTCTAGCATGGTTTACTCAGGTCAGGTCTTAAATTAAAAAAATTGCTTTCATTTTGACCTGCTCTGCTTTTGATCATATAAAATTGGTAGTGTTCTAACAAATTGCTTTTACTATATATTAAATTTCTACTATCTTTTAAAATTGTTCAGGTCAAAATTCAGAGCTCCGGCAATGAGAAGTGTAGAATAACAATTTCGCTAGATCAGCTAAAGGATGCCGATATTTTGCCTCTAACCAACGTACTTATGTCAAGTGACGCTGCTGATATTGATGCTGTTGATATATTTCTGGAATTCGATAGTGGCCTGGCTATAGAAAATGTTATGGCTTTGATACATGCTGTCAATCAAAAGCTTCAAGTTGTTGATCTCCAGGATTTGTCGTTGGGGAATGAATTTCTAGGGTATGTACTAGCAATTTCCAGTACATCTTGAGAATTTATTTGTTGGGTTATTTTCACATTCAATATCAGTATCTTCTATTTCCTTTCATTTGAGGTCAATTATAAAAATGGAATAAAAGTCTCTTAACTTTGTCATGTGGATACTGTCTTTAAGTGGATACGCAATGTACTTTTGTATGATATTGTTTTATGTTCATTTCTGGAATTACTTTTTCAGCTTACATGATTGTGAAGCTTGATTCCATGTGCCGATGAAGTCTACATGTTTGTTTAGGAAATAACTTGTCTGTTGTTGTAACGAATCTACGACAAGATTAACAAGTGTAGTATTGTATATCTTATATAAATAAAACTTTTGACTTGTTCCATTGATTTGGATTCTCCCCAGGGATCTCTTCCAGGGTTGCTTGGATTGCCAGGTCTTCAACTTGAGGTCTACTCATATCCAGAAACTCAACATTGTTGGAAGCTTTTTGCGGCTACACACCCTCAATCTGGACTTTTGTACTTCACTTGCTAGTTTGCACAAGGACTGTTTTTCTTGCATGCCAAATTTGATGCGTCTCTCAATGTGTGAGACAAGAATTGCAAATCTCCTGACAACCACTGGTGTTCTATCAAAACTTCCTGCTTTGATGGAATTACGGTTCCAAAGTTGTTTGTGTTGCAATGACACTGGGCCATGTCCTGATTTACAAAGACAGCACAACTTACAGAGGGAGGTAAGTACACAGCATGATTATAATTTTATGTGGTTATGAAATTGCTATTTGTTGGTGATGGATTTAACAGTTTATTTAATACGTCTTTGGCAAATTGTAGGTTCAAGAAAAAGACGGGTTTCTTGTGAGTGACCTTAAGAATGCCACTATTACATTAAAGTATATAACTCATCATCGTTCACCCCTATGCTTTGAGAAACATTACTGGGATTACATGATTTCATCACTCCCTGGTTTGGAAGTTTTGGATAATTTTCCTATTAGAAAGATGGAAAAGGAATTGGCCATGATGACCTCTGCAAAATACTATGAATATTTGCCTTATAATAGACAGCTCAAAGAAAGTGTTGTTAGTGTTTTGCATAAGCGTGAAATGGGAACAAATGGTATACACTGCCAAAAACCATTTAAGCCAAAACAGCTGCAGCCTTATCGGAATGGCCAGAATTTTTTCTTAAGGTCCCTTTGCGCTGCCAAACTTGGGTCTTCAATGTGGCCACTCTTACATCCACTGTCTGACTTTAGCCACACATTTAAAGCAGAGAGTAAGAAGCTTCGTCCAAGGCAATTTGAGTACCATCCATCAAACCCTAGTCTTATGGTATTTGGAACCCTGGATAGTGAAGTAGTTGTTCTCAACCATGAAAATGGGAAGATTGTTGGTTATGTCCCCTCCGTAGGAGCAATGAGCAGTGTCTTGGGGCTTTGTTGGCTCAATAAAAATCCATCCAAGGTATGTGATTTCTTGTATGCATTAACAGTCTAGGCTGTGTTTCTGGTGTTTGTCAAAGCATTATCAATTGTAATTCATATATTCTCAGAGAATTTATATTATCTGGTACCATAATGCAAACCTAATAATATGCCAGAATCCAATGTTACACTAAAATAATACTTGGGCTGTGCATTTGATGTATTATGAATCCTAAATGTCTCCCGAACTTAAGATATAATATAACTGTGGGAGAGTGTTTAAGTTTATTATAACCCTTTGGAATACTATTAATATGCATTACCTGGCATGATTTAAGTCCTCTTTCATGCTTAATCCTGGTACATCATGAAAGTGGACAAACCAGAGTTCTCTTTGACCTACTGCTGTGCTTCTTTGGCCAGCTCACTTGCAGATGCACACAGAGACAAACATGTATATGGATATACAAACTCTAGTATAGACCATCATAACACTCAGGGCTGCCGATGCTTTTCTCTTACTCAAATGCAAAAAGTAGTTGTATTTGTAATCCCCTTCTTAATGTTTTTCTTACCCATTTTCCCATTTGTGTTGAAAAAAATAGCTTGTTGCTGGTTCAGATAATGGTTCCTTGAAGTTGCTTGACATCAATTATATGTCACCAGAAGTTTCAGACTCTTGTTGCAGCTCTAGTGTTGCAACTTTTGATGATTTCGAGCAATTGACTTCTCTTCATGTAAATTCAACTGATGACCAGCTTCTTGCTAGTGGGTACTCAAAAGGTGTTGCTCTATATGACATAGCGAGTGGAAGACGTTTACAGTTGTTCACTAATATTCACCGAGAACCAATCAATGTTGCAAAATTTGCCCACCATTCCCCTTATATGTTTGCTACTTCATCATTTGACCATGATGTGAAGATGTGGGATTTGAGACAGAACCCAATGCGGCCTTGCTATACAGCTTCAAGCTCAAGAGGAAACGTGATGGTTTGCTTTTCTCCTGACGACCTTTATTTGCTTGTTTCAGCTGTTGACAATGAGGTATAGTACAGTAAGATGCACTTTGGTCTATTGCTGTAGGCAAAAATGAGCCGATAACTTTTATGTGTTGTCACTTTCCAGGTGAAGCAACTTTTGGCAGCAGATGGGAGGCTCCACATGAATTTTGATATAGCTTCTACAGGAAGTTCTCATAATTATACCCGTTCATATTACATGAATGGAAGGGACTATATTGTCAGTGGTAGTTGTGATGAGGATGTAGTTCGCATCTGCTGTGCTCAAACTGGAAGGAGACTTAGGGATGTTTATTTGGAGGTAATCTATTGGATGAAACTTGTTATTTTCGCAGGGAAAGCTTTTTACTTGTGCTCACCACTCTGCTTCTTTGCAGGATAAGGAGTCAGGAAATTCATTATTTGTGCAGTCCTTAAGGGGTGATCCGTTCAGGGTAAGTTCTGCTGCAAATGTGATGCATGGTTAGTTCTTTGGTTGTGTTCTGTATGATTTTCTTCATAAGGGCTTTGGAAAATGTTCTGTTACCAAATATCCACTGATGCAAAATTGCTACTTTTTCTTTTATTGTGTTCACTGTAACAGCATTTTCACATGAGTATATTAGCAACCTCTACGCGTCCAAGCTCCAAGTGTGAGATTATAAAGGTAATGTTAATGTGCACCCATCATTTGTGTTGTTTTGGACGGTTTTGAAGGGGATGGCTAAAATTGTGTTGGAATTTACGCAGGTCAATTTACTTGGATCAAGTTACTATGCAGAAGAATATTCTTATGGCCAATGTTTACACCCTTCCTGCTGTCAGGGAGGCTGATATTTATGTTTGTGGTATGTTGTGCTTGTCTGTGTTTGTATCTGTGTACATGCGAGTGAGTTATTAAAAAGAAAAAAGGCAGCAGTTTGAGCAGACAACAAAACTTAGTATACTGTACATTGTTAGTTCTACTCGAACTCAACATAATTCACTACTATTTCGGCATCTATTTGCCTATAGAAAATGGGATGACTGCCTGCAAAGACAACATATTTCATTGCAAGAATAACGAGAGAGCATGTAACAGAGCCTTTTGATGTGTTACTGCAATCATGCACGCGTGAAAATATATTGATATGAATACGAACTAGACAAATGGGGCACGAGATACAAAACAATACCAAATTATTCCTTTGTTATCTTCTTTCCCAAGTCAGTACGGCAGCTAGACTCACAGGTATAAACTATTCTTCCCGCATTCATATAAGAAACATTTTACAGGACTCATTTACTTAAGACGCTAAGGAGTGACTGTGCCTGCAAGAAAACCAAAAAACTTGGTTAAGGTTATGTTTAAACATAACTTGTAATAATCCATCATATATAAACATTTTGCATCATACCTTTCTTTGGGCCCTTGGGGTGCCATATTGTGACAATACCACTAAAGGCGGGACAGCTCCTTCTTGTTGCACCATACGGCAATATCTGTCACTACTTGTGCAGAGCTGTAGAAGAGCAGCAGCTGCATGCTCCTTCCCTCTTGCAGAACCCAACTCAACAGCTTCAACCAGACCAGGGATCCCACCTTCCTGACCAATTGCTGTCTTTCCCTCAGGTATTGTAGAAAGATTGGCTAAAACAGCAACTGCCTTGTCAACCAGTCCAGCTGCTGGATCCATCAACTCCACTAGGTACTTTATAGCACCGGCTTGAACTATTGGACGTCGGTTCTCATGAAAAATTGACAAACTAAACAAAGCTGTGGTTGCATCTTTCCTCCCTCTGGGAGTCCCATTCCCCAATAAATCAACTAGAGGCCCAATAGCCCCTGACCTTCCAATGCGAACCTTGTTGTCCTCAATCACCGAAAGGCTAAAGAGAGCGGCAGCTGAGTTTTCCTTGGCTTCAGCACCGCCTGTCTCAAGGACATGAATCAGAGGTTCAATTGCATTGGCAGCAGTAATTTCTGTTTTGTTCTCAACATTGATGGATAAGTTCAGAAGTGTTGTGACAGCATTTTCTTGAACCCTTTTGTCTGTAGACCGGAGCAAGTCCACCAACAAGCTAATGGCTCCACAGTTTGCAATAACAATCCGATTTTCCATACTCTGCTTTGCAAGCAGCCGGAGTTCAAATGTTGCATCTCTTTGAGCATCAAAAGAAGTGCTTTTCAAGTCCTCAACCAGATTACCTACTTGGGCTTCAATTAATCCAGAATTGTCTACTCTTGTTTCACTGGCAGGAGAAGATGTCTTTGGGACTAAGCTACCAGATGCTCGGCGCCGCCTCATTTGGCCTCAAGGGTCTTCTTGCCTCTGCTACCAATCTGGTTGGCAGCTCAGTTTTTATGTGTGAATGATGAATCTTGGTCTTTCAACCAAAATAAAGAAGCAAAGAAGGAAAAGGCGTGAAGTTCAAATGAAAGCTCCATTTTGAATCTTTGGTTGACGCTTCAGAAGACAACAGAGACACGTTACGTGGTTACATGCTAAAAAAGGCAGCCTTCCTTACTTCCTACGCGTGTCCTTTTGGTGTCCTTATATATTGTAAATTTTTTTCTTGCTTATAATTTGGGTTAGAATATTCGAATAAGAAATGGGAGTTTATTTTTTCACTCTTATTTTCTCCACTTACACTCCTTTTTGTTTCTTTTAAATACTTTTTAATTAATTTTGTTCTTTTTTGTTCTCTCTTTTCCCTATTCTACCTTTATCCTACATTAATTTCTTCCTACTTCACTTTTATATTTTATATTTTATATTTTTCTTTATATTTAATTTTCCAATTTGCATTTTTTTTTCTTTAATCTAACATAATTAATAATGTATATTTATCTCGGCAAGATTATATGGTCCACCGCTGCGAAAACTCATGCCCTATGAATAAACCTTGCAGTGATAGTGTTTTTTATTTTGCTTTTAAAAGAAACAAATTTTAGGTGGCTACTAGACTGAATGACATCCTTTTTTGCGCCAAGTCATTTTTAAAAAATGGCATCGTTTTTAATTCGGAGCACAAAATGGCTTTTTCGCATCATTTTGGTGCCAAATCATTTTTAAAAATAAGGGATACATAGCAGAGCTACTGTTGTGAGACATTTCGTCGAGCAGTTGGTAGACGTCTCCAAGGGGTCACACCAGCAGCTTACCATAACCTCTACAGCCATTTCCATGGATTCCAAGACCCCATGGTAGCTACGTCACTACCTATTACCTAACAGATAAACTAACTCAAAAACAAAAACAAAACATGATAAACTCTCAGAAAATTTCCCATTCTTATATGACTACCCAAACTTCCACTACTACCTGGAAAAATGCCTATTAAAGCAATTCCATCTGTTGCCCAGCCCGAGGGCAGGAGGGGGCCCAAGGCCGTTTTGTGCCTCCCAATGGACCAAGCTTGCCCGGGCAAGCTGTGCCTCCCACGTAATCGGGCTAGCCCGAGGGCTATTGACTTCATGGCTGATGCCAGCACCTGGATTCAAAAAAAATTTTGACACTGCACACATTTGAAATTACGTGCGCTAACGTCAGGCTGCGTCAGCCCTACTTTCCGCCAACGGTAACATGCCACATGACGCGTTTTGGTCACTCCGATTGTTTTTTTTCCTCAAATCCAACGCCTATCCTTTTTTTTATTTTTTTTTGGCTTTAAAAATTTCCAAAAAATTATGGAATTTTTTTTTCTATAAATACCTACCAATGTTCTTCACTTTCAACACCAAGTCCTTATACATTTTCTTCTCATTCTATTATTTTTCACTTTCTACACAATTTTCATCACTTCCAATTTTCATTTTTATTCACCATCTTATGACACCTTCCATCGAAGCCGGAGGGACGTGGACAACCATGGAAGATGTTCTCTTGTGTGAGTGTTGGGTCCAAGTTGGTCATTGTCCGGGCAATGAGATGAAATTCTATCATATGTTGAGAAAAATTCCTTTCGAAATTTGTGAAAGATATGGTTCGGCTTGTACGGAAATGGCCTTGGCTAGTAAGTGGAAAATTATGAATAAAGAGTTAGGGAAATAGAGAGATGCTTTGGTAAAAGCGAGGGACAACCATTGAAGCAGCGAAAAACTTGGCAATGAGGTAAATTATTTGTAATTTTCGTTTTATTAAATCTAATGTCCTATTTTTTTTAATGTTTCTTGCATTTCCAATATTTTTTTTTAATGTTTCTTGCATTTCCATTTTTTTTTAATGTTTCTTGCATCTCCAATATTTTTGTAATGTTACTTGCATTTCCAATTTTTTTTTTTAATATTTCTTGCATTTTCAATATTTTATTAATGTGTCTTGCATTTCTAATATTTTTTTGTTAATAGTTTAGGTATAAAAATAAAAATAAAAACTAAAAGTAAATAGTATTTGCCCTTTGCCATGGCAATGGGTGGAAACACACCTTGCCTTTTGCAAGGATTGTCACTATTCACGTGAAAAGTAACAGTCATTGCCTCCCCTTACCCTTTGCCATGACAAATAGGTGGAAGTGCTCTTAAGCATAAGATCTTAGTGAGAAACACTTCTATTAAATCACTGATAGCTTGTATCCAGGGCATAAGGGGTGACACCAAACAGATTTCAATGGGGTACTTTACCATGAGATGACACATAAATGGCAGTGTCATTGAAATCGTCAAGCTCCAGGTAGATTGATAGAAGGGATTGCAGACTATGTAAGGTTGAAGGCGGATTTTGTGCCTAATAGGTGGGCAAAATCGGGTGAAGGTCAAAGTTGGAAACAAGGTTCTTCAGTGACTGCAAGGTTCCTGTTCCTGAAGTATTGTAATGGTCTTCAACAACAACAAGGCTCTTCGGCCGAACTGAACAAGAAGATGGGAGATGGCTATAGTGACAACTTCTTTGGATTTGTTGAGGCCCAAAAAGTCATGAGAAACCCATCTCCAACTCTTCGTCTAGCTGCCAGAAACATCAATACAAAACACGCAGCCGTTGGAAGAAGAACAGAGTACTCCCCCTAGGACTTGCTTCTCTCTCGGGATGCTTTGGGCCTAGTTCTCGCTAACTCAGAAAAAGTGGCAACGAAAACTTAATTCACCACTCTATGACGGTCCAAGAATTAACAAGCCCGGACGAGCCTTCTGACAAAAAATACCCCAACATAATTCACGCTCTAACTTTTTTTTTAGTTTAACTTTTCTTTATTTTAGTTATCAAAACATTAATGTAGGGTCGGGGCATAATAGGAGAGAGAGATTTAAAAAAATAACAAAATTAATTAAAAAATATTTAAAAGCAAGAGGGTGTGTAAGAGCATCCACAATGGGCTCCCTAAATCACCTCCTTAGACAAATTTTAGGGAGGAATTGTAAAAATGGAGTTTCACTAAAACACCCAAAATGAGGGTTGAAATTATAAAAAAACCCAACACCCAAAATACTTTATAAACACACCCAAAACCCATCATTACACACACTCAAAACTCATTTATAAACACACCCAAAAAATATACAATTGTTGATTTTGGGTGTGTTTCTATGTTTAAATAGTGCTTGGGTTTTTTTATAAATACATGTCTAGGATTGGGTTTATTTATAAATTTGTATAAAAATGCAACTCCAACCATGCTCCCTATCCATCTCCTAAAATAGGGAGTCCTCTAGGAGCTCCTAAATCTGAGGAGAGAAAAAGAACTCCTAGTGGCTCCCTATAATTTAATGCTGTTTTATTTAATAAGTATTTCAAGCCTTTATTTAATGCTAATTATTTTTATTTTATTTTTTAATAGAGATGGACCAATCAAAAACGAGTTATAGCATTTATGACTCTCCAAATTATGGAGTATGGTTGGAGTTGAAATTTTTTAGAGAGCTCCTAAAATAACTTTCCTATATTTTTAGCTAAATTTTAGCTAAGAAATAGAGAGCATCATTGTGGATGCTCTAAGTAAAGAAAAGGAGAGTGGAAAAATCAACTCCCTTAAAAATCAATAGTGTTGTAAAAGAACATGCATGTTGAAAGAAAGAAAAAAAGTAATTGATTGCAGCCGAAACACATTTAGACGCTGCATTAAGAAAACTAAAACCAACAGCCTTGTGAAATATCAACGAAACCACACATTAAAATATAATGTCCATATGAAATACTCAAATGGGGCACAACATAACCAATACCAAATCTCTCATTTGTCATCATCATCTTGTCCGAGCACAGAGCAACAACTAGACTTACAGGTATAAACTTTTCTTCCCAAATTCACAGCAGTACTTTACAGAAATCATACAAATCCTCTATGAATCATTTGTCTTTCCTCTTTTTTACAAATCAAATTAAATCCACACAAGAAAACCTTCAATTGAATTATTTTGCACCAACCAATTTACACATTATCTATAGAAGCTGACACAAAATCTCGGCTGACACCAAACATTCTATTTTTTAAAAATTATCCTCTACCAGCATTACCATGCCTATGGTTTCTGAAGTAGCTAAGGAGGGTCTGTGCCTGCAAGAAAACGAAAAGTGCTACGGTTCAATACATTATTTGTGATAATAAATAAACCAGGGCAGAGAGAAGCAAACATCATCAGAGGCACTGTACCTTTTCCTTGGCCCTTGGGGTACCAGATTGTGACAATACCACTAATGGGGGGACAGCTCCTTCTTGGAGTACCATACTGCAATATCTATTACTATTTGTGCAGAGCTGTAAAAGAGCAGCAGCTGCGTTCTCCTTCCCTCTTGCAGAACCTAACTCAACAACCTCAACCAGAACAGGGATCCCACCCTCCTGACCAATTGCTGTCCTTCCCTCCGGAATTGTTGAAAGATTAGCCAACACAGCAACTGCCTTGTCAACCATTCCAGCTGCTGGGTCCATCAACTCCACTAGGTACCTCACAGCACCAGCTTGAACAATTCGACCCTTGTTCTCATGAAAAATTGACAAATTAAACAAAGCTGTGGCTGCATCTTTCCTCCCTCTAGGAGTCCCATTCCCCAATAAATCAACTAGAGGCCCAATAGCCCCTGACCTTCCAATGCGAACCTTGTTGTCCTCAATCACCGAAAGGCTAAAGAGAGTGGCGGCTGAGTTCTCCTTGGCCTCAGCACTCCCTGTCTCGAGGACATAAATCAGAGGTTCAATTGCGTTGGCAGTAGCAATTGCAGTTTTGTTGTTATCATTGATCGACAAGTTAAGAAGTGCTGTAACAGCATTCTCCTGAATCCTCGTATCTGTAGAGTGGAGCAAATCCACCAACAAGCTAATGGCCCCACAGTTTGCAATAACAATTCGATTATCCATATTATGCTTGGCAAGTAGCCGGATTTGAAGTGTTGCCTCTCTTTGGGTATCAAGTGAAGTGCTTTTCAAGTCCTCAACCAGACTCCGAACTTGGGCTTCAAGTGCTGAAAGGTCAGGTCTTGTTTCAACAGCTGGAGAAGAAACTATCCTTGGGACTAAGCTCCCAGATGGTCGCCGCCACATTTGGCTTCGAGGTCTTACCTCTGCCATTCTGGTGGGCAACTCAGTCTCTCTCTGTTGGGTGGCCAACGCAGCAACAGCTTGTGGTTCTGATTTCAACTCCCCAGAAGCATCACTGCTGTAGCCTGACAGATTGCTTGGCACCTGTAAGGCCCCATTGGCATTTACAGGAGTTCCTTGAGTACCATTGGCATTAGAAAGTATACTGGAAGCTGAGGCAGTTCTATTATGGCTTTGAGATGACTGCTCCGCTTCAATAGAATTAGGAAATTCATCTAGAGACGGTGACATAGAGTGTTGGCTACCTAGATCTGTACTCCTTTCTTCTAAGTTGGCAGACCTGTCTTCGGAATTTGCTAGTGTTATTCTGGCAATATCCAAAACCTGCCCATTTCCAACTACGCCAGACAAGGAACCTTCTGATGTAGAACGAGGATGCAATGGCGAACTTCTTTCCCGATGCAATGGACCAGATGAGAACAAGTTCTTAGTGGGCGAACCCATAGACCGAGCTGACTCAGGTGACATTGGTTGATTGACCCTGGAATGAGGAAAAGGAGGGGAATCCTTGGGAGCACCATGTTCTGCTTGTCCAAGAAGTTGTGTTGCTTTATTTAATCCCATAGACTTTGTGGGATCAGGCAGTTTCACATTGTTTGACTCACACCAATTTGCAATTAGTGCCTTTACAGTGTAATTAGGTATCAAATTGGTGTGGGCCAAAGTTTGTCGTGTCTTTGGACAAACGGTGAGGCCTAGATCAATCCAGTTCTTGATGAAAGTCCTCTCATAGGTTTGTCCTGATGCCACAATAACTGGATCTGTCATCAGCTCCAGAGAGAGAGGACAGCAGAAATCAGCAGGTATTGGAACTGGACTGCAGCTCTGGGACTGCTTTATCGTAACAAGGCGCTCATGCATACGGGTGACAAGGGATATCAATTGCTCAATATACTCCGCCTCCTCAATCTTTTCTGATTGTTCAGCATTCTCCTTCAACTTTTCAAGTGCTACAGCCTCAATAAGAATCTCCTGGTTTGACCTCAAGCTAAGGCCCTCTGCAATTTTCACTAGGATCTCTGAGCTGGGTCCAACACCCTCCACTTGATCACTTACAGAATCTTTAATGACAGTTGACATTTGTTCATCGACCATATTCTTAAGTTTTTGTATGCAATGCTGCAAACAACCATGGTGAGTCTTAGACATCATAAAAAGATATAGCCTAACCTCTCCCAAATTAGAAGTCCACTAGAAAGACTAGAAATTACTTCTTCCGCATTCCAAAAATTTGTGTTTAATGATTTCACCATCTGACTGATGGTTTTTCATCTAACCAATGTTCTTTAATAAGCAATGAATTAAAGAAACTGAGTTTTATGCTGTCTTTTTCTTGATCGAAGTTTTATGCTCTATCCGTAACAAAATGAAACAGGGAAAAAATTAATAACTCTTTTTGCACACATTTTGTACCTCAAGAGATGCCGAACCCAATTCATCAGGAAGATGTTGTTGGGAAGTCTTCAACAGTTGAAAGATATCCAAACCAGAAGTCCAAATCTTTGAGATCAAAGATTCAACTTGCAGAACCTACATGTCATAAAAAGAGAAGATGGTTAGATAAACTATCACTTCAACAAAATGCATTAAATACCTGTCCTTGGGGAAGTTCATTTGTCATTATCTAATTTAGTGTACTTTGTCAGTGTATAAGTACATGCTTATGAGATGTGATATAAATATGCATGTGGAAGGACATTAGAAGACAAAAGTATATAACTTCAGTAAGTTTTAACTTTTTCTCATAACTGATAGCAGTGCACTAAATCTAGTGTTGAGAACTCCATGCATACTTTCAAATTTGACGAAAGCCAACAGGCATCAGGAAAAAAAAAAGCAACTTAAAATTCATTAAATGCCACTAATTAAAAGAATTATCAATGCAGGTAAGAATTGGGGCTACATACAGTTCCAATTCTAACATTTCTAAAGCAACCTTAGACTCTCTCGAAAACAAAAACTTAAGATCCTCTTAAAAGGAAAGACTAATCAGAAAATCTTAGGACAAGGATTACAAATGGGAGAATAAATGACAAAATGAAGAGACCACCATTACTAGATAAATGCAACAATGCCCTGTTCATAGCCATTTTCTTTCGTGCTTCGCTCTGTCTAGACTAATAAATCCTCATGGAACAACAGATATGGCAACAAGACAAAAAAAACAAAAAACAAGTAAGTGCTTTCTTTAGTCAGGGGAGGGAGGGAAAAGTGGCCACATTATAACTTACTAAGCATATCATAGTAATATATTAATTCAAACAAGGGGAATACCCAAATTTGTATTGGTCAAACTTATGGTGAGGATTATGACGATGAAAGGTCAGTTTTAGATAAATTTACCTTCAATTTTAATCAGATACATTATTCATTCTAATTACAGACTACAACTGAATAGACCAGTAACTTACAAGATTAACTTTGCTCAACAACGGTTGCCAGTCTTCAATTTGCTCCCTCAACTCATCAATATAGTGACCCAGTTCTTCAAATGGCTTATTAAGCACTTCATAAGAAGCTATTTCAGAATCAACAACGGCATCAAGTACAGTCTTCAACAATTTCAATATCTCTTCTGCTCTCTTGTAGTACTTCAGAACCGGGTCCAAGTTTATGTTATCATTGGATGATAAATGGAAAAAAGAGGAGATGTTATTAAGAAGTGCTTTGAACAATGATATCTCCATCACACCTGCGTCAATATATAAACAAGTAAAAATAGTCTCTTTGCAGAACGAAAGGAATAGAGACAAAGTCTTAAGAAGTAATGGAAAAGAAAACACAGAATAGTTTCCAAAATAATAACAACCATATCGCATAAGCACAATAATGATAACTGATTTCCTATGAAGTTACATTCAAATGAGTTCACCTTTCTAAAAATTGGAATCAACAAAATTGGACTAGTACCAGAGAAGTTCATCTTAATGAAGAGGCTGAACTCGAACAGGTTTATAATTCAAATCTAGGCAAACTGACAGATATTCTACTTGCATATATATACAATATATAGATTTATTTTTTTCTTTCTGTAACTGCTTTCAAGTCTTATCCAACGATATTTGAAATCAGCATTCTGCACAGTTGCAGCATAATTGTCAATTCAATTTTTACAATACACACCCATACACTGGCATGCCTGCACTCGTGTCGTGTTTAGAGAGAGAGAGAGAGAGAGAGAGAGAGAGAGAGAGAGTCTCTAATAATTTTGAAAAGGCAAGTACAATCAGTTTTTACAATGCCTTTTGCTCCCCTATAATATTCATGTACCTACTCTTATAAATCATTATGATGTGTTTCTTGCAGCATATTAACTTCTTTTAGAAAATTTACACGCCAACAAAATCATTCCTATACAAGCCATCTTGTTTTAAGATTTTTTTATAATAACACCCACCCATTGTTCTTTAATATTTACTTAACTCACCAACATTTGTATTTTTCGTTTGGTCTTGCTGGCTGGCTTGACATGCAAGACATGTCCCCTCCATGAAAATAAACTTATACATATATTTGTAGTAGACCCCCGAGTTTTTGTTAAAATGTATCAAAAAGGCATATTCTTAACAAGTGAAATCATATTATTGAAGGACATGCCAATAAGTATATCTTCAACCGTACTCCTACGAACAGATTTCAGATAAAAAGGAAAGAATGAATGCACCTTTATTCACCATAAATATATAACTTTACACACCAAAGCAATCTTTCTCATTTCTGATCCTTCAGAATCCAAACAAATCCACAATGAAGAAAAGACTTCTCAAAACCCATACAAAACCTATGCACACTCACTATCAAGTGATAAACTCAAATCCTGGAAATCAAATTTCCCCAACTATTGAACCCTGCAAAAACAAAAACCAAAACTTCAAAGTATGAGATCTATGAAAAAATAGGGAGATGTAATTAAAAGCCAATAATTGAAGTTTAAAACTTTATTAATTGCCTTGGGACCTCAATAAGGTGAGGCGGTTGACAATAAAAAATTCCACCCCATAAGTAATACACGGACAACTTTCCTACTATCTTTCTTCATCTGCTTTTTCATTGAACATGAAGGAAACTTAGGAAAGTTAAAGGAACATCATTTTCCGCAATGCATTATCTTCTTTCCTTCTACCTTTCCAGCTGGAACTGGTGGAAAAGATATGCTAAGCATGGACCAAAAGTGTCCTCCCTGATTTTCACTCCTCATTCCAACCCAACAGAGGAATTTAGTCTGTCACCACCAGACCTTTATCGTTTCTCTCGTATATTTCCTTCTGGGCTTTTGCCATAAAAAACCATACTAAAAAGAAGAAACAATAACTGACTGCAGGTTGTTGGGTAATTCCACATTCTTCTTATTTGCTGAGAAAAGTTTTCATTTATTTGTACCATATAATTTTGGTACGTTTGTATGTGGGGGAGTATAAGAGTACTAAAGAAATTCAAAAAATATGTGATTTGAAGCTCTAGGTTTCATAAAATTCTTGTTTGGGTAACCTATTAAGTATAATGGGATTTTAAAACGAAATTTAACGCTTATCTTTATGGAGGTGTCAATATGTAAATAAGTGGTAGTGGTGGTAGTTGTGGTAATAGTGGTGATGGTGGTGACAACAACGAGAGTGAAGCTGCTGGTGGTAGTGGTGGTTGTTCGGAGTGAGGTGGTGGCAGTGCTAGTGGAAAGGTGGGAGTGGTGATGGCAATGCTTGTGGTTTAATGATGGTGACAACAATGTTAGGGTGGTCGCAGTGGATGTGCCGACGATTATGGAAGAAGGTTGGTGGTGATGGTTGTGGCTTTTTTGTCATACTCTCATTGTCTTCGTAATTTGGAAATGACACTTATTTAGCTGAAATTTAAAGTTAAGATTTATGATTCCCAAGTCCCAAGGTTTTTTTTTTCTTTTTCTCCACATAGAATTTATAAACTTCCTTGTCTATGAACCCAAACAAGGAAATTAGGATATTTCATTTCATAAATCCTAACTTTTGTTAAATTCTCAGCTCTACTACATGTTGACATATGTACATCATTAGGGCATATAATCATATACTGATACCAAATTTATTAGTTATCTGAAAGTCTCCTGCTTCCCGCCTTGATAACGTCTTGCCCAAACCAACACCTATGATCTAATAAAAGTAAAAGACCCCAAGAAGCATAGTCAATTTAATTATACCACTTATCCAGCTCATATACACATCCCAAATTTCCAATTTGTTGTATCCCATATGTGCTTTTCATCACAGCCAAAAAGAACCACCATTCAGATTATAAAAACAAAGCACATATACAATTACCAATTTAAAAATGAACAAAGATAATTCTTTTCTTTAAATTTATCTATGTTTGCGTGATCTTTCTGAAATACAAAATTCAAAATTTGCACACACCCATTAGACCCAGAATGGGATTCGAGTGCTTGAACTGAGTAACAGTCCAACCAACTAAAGCAGGAATAAATTGGAAAGCAGATTGACCAAATTTGAACTCTAAATGCAGGCACGAGCAGTCAAACAAGAAAAATTGGCGCACAGAGTAAAATACAACGTTCATAGAATTCAAAAACCCTAGCTGGATCAAGCTGAAGAACATGAACAAATAAAACTGTACCTGGATTTGGCTGAAAGCCTCTAACGCAGAGGCAAATGACCAAGAAAAGGTCGTTTTGGGCAATCCTTCTTTCTCCTTTGCCTTTCTCAAACCCAGACCTCCAGACCAGCTACTAGATTTTTCCTAATTCTCTGCTTGAGAATTTTCTTTCTCTCTGTCTAATTTTCTCAGAGAGTCTCACTTTTTAAATTTCTTTTAGTATTTTATTATGTTTTGGAAATGAAGATATACAGTTGCTGCCTGCTCGAGCTGGGGTTCGTTGCACAGTTGGAGAATGGGACATTCTCGTCATTACATGTTTATCTTGTAATAAATAAATGAATTATTTTAGTAAATAATAATATGATTACTTTATGCAGTATGTCAAATGAATTTTTTTGACTGAAATTGGGATTCATTTGGTAGCCGCCAAATGGGCTGGTTTACCTGTTTATCATGGAAATACCTTCATTGGCACAAAATAAAATAAATAAAATAAAAATTAAGAAATGGAAAATACGTTTTTTCTACACAAAATAAAATGCCAAATATATCCCTAAATGGTAGCCTGTCCAAATACAACGTTCATAGATACATACACCCTCTCACGATCATTTTTCTTGTCATGTTTAATTATCTTGGTTTCCTAGTACGGAACAGATACAATTTCTACTTATTTTGAAATACGTTTTCTTCTAGAGTTTCATGGCAATGTCACTTTCATCGCAAGCAACCTTCTTTGTTTAAATGAATGGAAATTACCAAATTGACAATAATATGTTTTGAAAAGGCTAGAGGAACCGAAATTAAAATAAAAGGTAGACAGGACCAAAATGATTGAAAACTGACAACTCAGAAGTAATTCTATTCCATTCGCTACCAGAATATCTCCGTTTTTATTTATATATATATATATTATTATTTATCAGCAAGTAGGGGATTTTCTTCCAATATTGTAAAGATTAAATTAAGAAATAATTGATGCTAGTAATTTTAGAAAAGTGTGACAATAAAGCAAAGGCAAAAAATTATTCAGAAGAATACGATGCAATACGAATTCCTGCGTAGAAGAAGGTAGCAATGATTTCTAGAATTGGATGAGAGAGAGAGAAGAAAGAAATATTCGTGTTTTAACTTTTTATGAATGGCACCCTGCGGCCAGTGGCCAGGCATTTCATACAAAAATGGCCATTTGGACTTTATGTCGCAAAAAAATTCATTTGACCAGAAGAAGAAGATTCTTCCCTCCACTCCAACAAGATAGAGAAGGTTAGGGACCGCCCCAAAATGTCAACTTTGAAGCTTCTATTTTATTTCCCAGAAACTGCTTTCCAACTTGTTTGCGAGGACTCTTTCCAACGACTCATATATTAGGCCATTAACTAGTATATATATATATATATATATATATATATATATAATATGTGTGTGTGTAGACTAGACATCATCATTTATTATTTCAGTCATTATCATCAATATGAACCCTGTTCATTGGACACTTTTACAGTGCAAATTCACAATGCATGTCAACATAGTTATGGCCGTTAGATTAACAGATTAACTATTCTGTGTTCGGGTATATCGCATTCACTTTTAGGGTATAATATTAATAAATTTTCACTTATATTATAGTATGTGGACAAGTTATACCACGTGCATACTTCATTACCACGTTATAATTACTCGTAAATAACATATGATCATTTATGTTTTTATCACAATTAGATGATTTCATATTGTTTTTATAAATAATTTTTTATTTATGTATATGCATTATTTCTCAACATGAGGCAAGCCGATTTGCATTCGGTTGTGAAATAAAAATCATTGTCCATGGTGTCACATGACCTGTATAAAACAGGAAAACAATAATAATAATAATAATTCAAAAAACAAGAGATTGCAAAGAAGCCTTTTATTGGGAAAACTTTTGATTCACTTGTGTGTTACAATATTCACATACAAATTGAATTATGTCTACAGAACCAAAGTGTGAGTAGTTCTACCTATAAATATATATATATATATATATATCTCTCTCTCTCTCTCTCTCTCTCTACTATCTGAATTTATCGCATCCTTTCATGGGCATTGCAAAGAATGATTCTTCAACCTAAGGAGTAAGAGTCTTGATCAACTGAGTAATTGTGATTACAGAATTTGGTTGGTAACTAATCATGTGAATCAAAATGCAAATGGCAGACATGCCATGCCATGCCGTCAACCACAAGCAAAGACAGCTACAAAATTTCAGAGAGGCTGGAGTTCTTGCTCTGGAACAGCAGCATTGACAGGCTTGTATGGATTGACTGTCCGTTGTCGGTGTCTCAAAAGAAACCACAATCCAACAACTGATAATGCAATCACTAGAATTCCTAAAATGGATAAAACCACCACATAACTGCGCTGCCACCATGACCTGCACAATTTCAGAATAACAAAATATTACGAAAATTGCTACGTATGATACTGTGATCTCTATTGAACTACTCTGAATGCATCAACAGGGAATTTGGACCTCCAGTCATGCACCAGTACATAGATGGCATGCATCTTATTGTTACATATTATTCTTTGTTGGATGTAGGCATTGCAGCCTAACTCTTAAACAGCAAGATAGCTAAGCTTATTCATTAAAATCATTATCTATATGCCAACACTCGTATAGGAGATTTTTCTCAATTCCATTATATTCTAGTATAAAAGGGGGAAGGACATAAGAAAGATATGTAAATATAAACTACCGTTCTTCCTTAGGCTCAACTCTCCATCCAAGCAACTCATAACTTCCAAACATAACAGGAAACTGCAAGCGATGTTCAGCGAGCCTGGCAACTATAACCTGTGGGCAGAACCAATCATCAAGCAAACAAACACTTATGAACGTCGGCACAAACACTAATTGCAATTCAAAAGCGCAAACTTACCGCTGCAGTTGTATTGGAAATGCTGTCAGTAGAGTCTGCTGGAAATACGGCCCAACTAATGAGGGAATCATTTCTATTAGCAGCAAATTTCAACATATGTACCTGAAATAATCCATTCAAATTTGGCACCCTAAGCTGAAGATGCACTTAAAAGTCATAAAACTTGATTATCAACAGTGGATATCTATCTATTTATTTGTCAGTATGACAGTATTGAACTATCAGTGAGAAAATATAAAGTAAATATCAATCAAATAAGCACATGTGGTTTCTTCCTGACCTGTGATGTATTAACTTCTAATTCCTGAGCTATGAATTCAGCTAGTTCTGTAATGTGGGGCTTCAGATCAGAGTAGCTTATGTTCAATGACATATCAAATGTTATTTTTCCAATTTGGAGTTCCCCTGTCCATCAAGGTTAACGAGACATTGTAATTCATTTGTCTTTAAAACAAAAATAAAAAATGGGGGATTGCAATAAGTCTGTCTTTTCAAAAAAGAGTACAGCATAAAATCACATTTCTCTTATTAAAAATCTACACTTGTGTTGACATAAAAAATAATAAGAAATGATAACAGAAAAGTTCACAAATTAAACTTAAGAAGAGAAGAGAGTTCCCAAATATGTTATTTTCACCTTCCCCTGTTTGCCTCAGATTTATCTCCATTTTTACATTTGAGTAATTGGATAAGTAAACCTACACAACTGTAAGATGAATATGATATAACAGAAATAATTTTAAGGACAAGTGAAAAATGAGGCATCCATGCCAGTGAAAAGAAAGACTTGGAATACTACCTGGAAGTACATAAGGTGGCGCTCCAGTTGGAGCTAATGTAGGCATCACTCCTGGAGTTGAATTCTTGTTACCAGAAGCAGGAGGCATTGCTGGCGGCGAAACAGATTCGTGAAGTCTTTCCCACAACTCCGAACAATTAGTTTTCCAGAAACCAATTTTGGAATTCTCACGGTCGTATGTTACAAGAGTATTGCGGACAACAATTCCTATCATAAACATGGCATAACAAGATTAATTGAGAGTGCTGCATAAAGTTAATGGGATAAATTTGATAATTCACAAAAGTAAGATAGAGAATTCTGGACCATTTGTAAAGCATTTACCTCCTAAAAGAGTAGTTGGATCCTTTCCATTTTGGAAAACCCCAAGGCAGTAAGCACCACGGACCTTTGAATGCTTTATAATTGATGATGTTACAATAAAGTAGAAGAATTCAATTAGCGACATCGAATAACCAATGGAAAAGTCATAAAGTTGGATAATAAAAATTACAATTTATGTGGTTTAGAAACAAGTGTTTTGAGGAAGAAGGGAAGGGGCAAGCTTAAATTTCAACACTTACCCGGAACAAGTAATTTTCAGGAGATAATGTCAACTTTTTCCCACTGCCAAATACCATGTCAACTGTTGGAAAGGTGTCTGACGGGTGGGAGACCTCACTGAATCAAAATTGTTATAAAACTATTAAAAACGGCTTGTGACCTTATTCACAACTTATTCATGTATTTGAACAAATCAAAATTTTTAGTGTAAAAAATTGCAATTGCGGCCTCGATGGGCTTTCTTATAATCTAGTTTGCACCAGAATAGGCAATAACTTATCTGTATAACAAAATAAGCTCTTAGTTTTCTATATGTGATACCTTTCATCAGTTGAGAAGCAAATATCATTATAGTTTGGATCAGGGCCACGGATCTGCTTGAGGGAACTAAGCTCCTTCATGATCTGCAATCACATATAAGGATAAGGAAAAAGGGGAAAAAGAAGTTAAGACATTGGTGGTACTTTGATCGCCCATTCAATGAAATAATACATAACTAAAGTTCTATGAACAGCTAGTCATGGATTAATACCAAATTTCATTACAGATTATTGCTTGTCCGCTTTGTCAATTCTAGTCGACCACATGCGCATCAATTTCAAATGAGACTTTTAATAACTATCATTCAGAAAGAACTGCAAGATATCATCTAATAGAATGAAAATGAAAAGGTTGAGGACAAGCAAGAATATTTTATTATATGGTCTTGTACAAAATTAAGACAATATTTAATCTAAAGTAATCAACAAGGGCAGAAGAGAATCTTACGTAATCCTTAAATGCTAGAAATGCTGCTTCTGGTAGGTAAGCATATGTTGTGCCACTGTCCAGGACTGTTCCATGTTTTCCATCAAAGACACTTGGATTCAAAGACAATCGCTTTCCCGCAATATGTATCTCCTTCAAATCAAGATTGTAATATGGACTGTTTCCATCCCAAAACTAGAGTAAATGTGTGAGATGTATTGATTGTATTTTCTAGGAAATTGGACATGTTGCAGTGTATGTAGGAGATAAAGTTTTCTAAACCACACACCTTCGTACAGGGTTCGAATGGGTGAAGACCATGTCTGATGGGGTAGTGAAACCACCAAGAACCATTGAACCTCCACCAATGTCCATTCCACCATAACATAACGAGAAAGAATCACTTATTACACCTTTATCAACAAGTTGATCCACCACACTTAGATCGCCACGGCCCAATCCCATTATGCCATCCGCATGCTGGCTGTAGAGGTCTCCAGTTTCAAGATTTTCACAACCGAAAACTGCACGTTGAGGTGCAAGTTCACTTTGATTGCCGAATGATACAAGATCCTCACCAAGCACACCACTGCTGGTACTCATTTCGGCATACTGTCTCTCATAAATACAATTCACCTTGTCACTGTCACAAGTGCAATCTATGTTGCACTTGACAGCTTTGTAGGTGCTCGATTCTTCCGGATCGAACTTGGGGTCCTGATGAAAAGTGGAAAATAAAACGCTAATATTGTTTAACCCCCAAAATCTATTATGTTAAGTCTGCATAGAGAACTAAATATTCAGTAGAGGTTTGGTAGTAAAGAGAAATAATCAACTTCAAGGTTGTTAAGATCTTTTTGGGTTAGAAGAGTGATCATGACCAACCCCCCTTTCCCCCGAAATTTCCCCGGTTTATACTTTTTCATGTGATTGGAACATGTTTGGCTAGATTTCTTCTTGAAAGCAAGGAGATCTGATCCTAACCTCAAATGCAACCCGCAACAAATGGTTTCGATATCAAGAGAAAAACTTATATTAACATATCCCATAGTTAATACAATTGTTTGATCAGAGTGTATAGTAAATGTAGCGGATGAATGTGTAGATGCAGAACTGACCTGGTGTCTGCCACACATTTCGCAAGAAGCGCAAGGCACATAGGTGACAGTGCTCCCAGTATCCACAATAAGCGCAAATCTCTGAGGAGGCGTTCCGATCCAAAGCCGCGTCGTATAGTACCTTTCACCCGCCACCACACAATTTCAATGCCAATCCAAATACCAATCTCAAACTCAACCAGAAAAACTGAGAATAACAATAATGATAATAATAATAAACAGAGAAGAATGTAAGGTGTTTTGTGGTACGTACCCATTGCGGAGGAGATCGTCGTAGAGTCTCATGCGGGCGTTGGGGCGGTTGAGGGACTCGGACCTCTGGAGGAGTCGACGAGGATTGGAAGAAGTCCTAGACGAAGAATTAGGGGTGGAGAGGTAGAGAGGTAAGACCATGGCGGGGAGTGAATGGAGAAGAAGCGCAGGGCTGGTGGGATTGGCAGAGGCCAGAACCAAAAACTCCATCAGCGATGAGAAGATGAGGAGGATGATGGAGATGGAGATGGAGGTTGAGATGAGGTGACTTGGTGTCGCTGCCATTGAGTTGCAGCTGAGAGATGTCGAATGGTGCAGATGATGCCAGATCGGGAAATGAGCCTTTTTCACAGAGAGAAGAAGAAGAAGAAGAAGATGATGATGACAAGGACAGAGTCTCTCCCAGCGCTTTTGAGAAGAGAGGGAAGTCAGCGTGCACAACGAAATTCGTTTTTCAGTTTCTGACCAGATTGCTCTCATCAGAAAGAAACAAAAATAACATGTATAATTTTTATTTTTATTTTTATTTTAAAAAAAATTACTTTAATTTTAATTTATCCCTATTTTGTTTTCCTGTTTGAATTAGACGCTACAACCGAAGTAGGTGTTGGGTTACTTGATTTTCAATCTATCAAGAAAAATTAATATGGAAAAGATAAAACTTGATTAAAATTAATCACACAATAAACCTAATGAATCATGGTTAATCAATAATCAAAGGTAATTAACAAAGTAAAAGGGACTTGTAACTCAATTAACTAAGAACAATTACCCATTCATATGAGGCCTTCTTTTCGAATCCCCATCTCCTAATCTCCTTTGAATTAAACAAAAAAGAGGTCATTAACAAAATTGTGCTTTCAAAGAAACATTTGTTGGCTCATGGTTCCCCTCCCATCCCATCCAACAAATTACAGTTATCTGCTATGGAGTGAGCAAAGCGTTTCTTTCAACAAATTCATTTCTCACAAGTTTATCATGAGCCGATGTCAGCTAAACAAAATATTTTTGTTGATTAAGATTCAGAAGAGCAAAGTACCATCTGTGCAAGGCATATCAAAATACAAGCCTACATAGGAGAAGCAAAATGGTTATCCAATGTGTTTGTCCTGCCTTCTGCCATACGCTGGCCTACTATTCTACAATACTTGCATACGTAGATTACATGTACGGCTGGTGTTGCGACGGCAACCCACTACCGGCGTAACTGCCGTAATTAGGAGGAGTAGCATTATAAGATGCTGGTGGAACTCTGTCATCTTGGGAAGGATAGTAATATAACCTTTGATCATTAGCTTGTGAAGCATATGCAGGCTGGCTGGGAACTTGGTAATCATAGGCACGTGGACCTGCAAGAGCATACCTCTCCGATATCCCGGCATATGCTGCCCTCTCACCAAAAACTGGTTGCACATGCCTACCAGCAGCGGGGGCAGGGGCAGCCGGGGCACCAGGGCCACGGTATCCACGCCATCTTCCACTGCCTTTCTGCTTCTTTACTTGTTGGCGTTTACCAAATTCACCAGTTCTCTTCTTATCAGCTTTGGATCTCTCTAGTTGAACCACCCTCTTATGCAGTGGATCAAGGGGGTAGTCCTCTTCAAGCTTGTACTCTTGAACGCATCTTATTACAGCCTTCAGTGCAGTAAGTTCTTTTGCATTAACATCGTCCTACATTTTTTTTTTAAACACCAACAAAAAGAGATCATCAGAAAAATATTTCTATTGACAAGCTTTGAGTCTGTGGTCGACTAAAATATACCTGTGCACCAGTAGCATCTCCCGTGTTGTCGCCCTGGGAATTTCTCCTCAAGTCTTTCAAGTACGTCTTCAGAAGTGGCACAAGGGGATAACTTTCAGTAAGCTGGAAGACATGAATAAAACGAACAGCATCAATTTGTTTCCCACTTCTGACCATTGATTCAACAAGACCTGCAAGAGACTATGGAGTTTCAGAAAAATCTGCATCCAAAATTCGAATAACCCATCTTACCAGAACAGAATTATCATTACGTAGCAAAATGAATGTTGCACCTGCCTCGACTTCTCAACTAACATAATTTACTACCAAGGCCGATAGGACATCTTATGGAAACAAAGACTTAGCCTCCAGACCGCATCAGGTCAGTTAGTTAAAAGATGACCAACCTGGCATTTTGTGTGTTAACCCAAGGGAGCGGCAGAGCTCAGGTGTCTGCCTGCGGTGAGCAACTGCAAGAACAAGCTTGCAGAGTTCTTCTTCATCAAACTCTGAAGCAATACTAAAAGTTGCGAGGAGCTGCAAGAATGCCTCTGCTTCCAATGAATTTCCATTGGCAGCATCAATGCCTGCACTAGCCAACTTAGGCTTCCACTCATCAGCAATTGCTTTGGCTTGCTGCTTGGTCTCAGGGTTCAAAAGGTGATCAGCACCTGGGTCAGCCTTTGCCAATAAGGTGGCCATGGCTTCCATAAACATGAGACAGGATCTGCGCATGCCCTGAAGGGCAGCATCCTTCTTACCCTCTGGTTGGTTAGTCTCATCAGGAGGGTAAAACCCCTCCAGTGAATCCAGCACTAAACGTGCTGGCTCACCTGCACTTTCTAGTGCAAGAGAAAGTTCCTCACGAATAACGCTTAGTTTTTTAAGATTCTCAGTAGCATAACTCAGAAGCCCTTTTGCATCCATCTGCTCACAAAATTGGGTCAGCTCTGGGCGTGGCTTAACCTCAAGAGCCATACCCTCAGCATTATCAACTGTTTTATGAGGAAATTCCTCCTCTGGTGAATTTGTATCACCGAGAGAGCTGCTTACCTTGCTGTTTTTGTTATCCCCATCCTCCACGGGTTCTGAAGTTGTTGGCTGGTGAATAGCTTGTGCCTCTGCAATAGCAGCAACTGCAGCATCTTTTAGCTCCTGCACTCGATCCAACAGGTCTTGCTCCTTAGCAGTAACAGCTTCCTCTCTCTCCATAAGCAAAGCACAGGTTTCAGCTTCCTTCTCCTCAAATTTCTTCTCCTTGACTTCAAGCTCTTCAAATCTCTTCTTCAGTGTTGTTTCAAGGTTGCGGAAGTACTCTTCAATTTCTGTCCACTGAACCCTGCCCTCAGACGTATCCTTGTGAGCATTTAGTTCCAGTAATGCCTTACCAAGCTGATCTATTAGACAGCTTGATGCATCACCTTCCACAACTTGCTCTGCATCAACCATGGTTACTGCAAATGCAGGCTTCTGTTTCAAGAGACACAATGGAAACATGAAAGTAAACTCTCGTTAGCAGAACAATAGATATGGAACTGTTCACCTATGGCTCTAACGCTAAAAACCACAGAGATTCCTTGATAGGATTCTAGGATTATTAAAAAAGCATGGGTAAACTTTGGAAAACTATTACTGTATCAATTATTCATTTCTTCTCGATGTTGAATTAAAAAACTTGAATGTGCAAAAAGTTTATGCTTCATGTTCAAAGTTTATGATGCTTTCGTTCAATGCTGAGCAAGAAATAGCAATGATTTGTGATAACATTAGTGTATACAATTTCCTATTAAATGGACTTAAAATTGCATGCATTTGACTTAATTGACATATCACATTTTCTGATAAGAAACCAGTACCTTCATTAAAAACAGAAAGAAGTACAAAAATGGACTAACAGAAAACAAAGACAACAAAAAGGACACTAGACGAGCCAAAGAACAAAACTGTTCTATTCATGATTCATTCTTCTCATTTTGGAATCTGTCATTCTTCTCAATGCCATTACACAGATGTTTCTGTTTGCAATATGTTCACATCAAGGGACATTTACTAATATTCATCTCTCTCCTATGCCACTATACTTCACATTTATTATAATCAGAACTCAAATAGCATCCAAACCTATATTAAAATACAAAAAGTGAATACACAATTCCAAGCTCAACAAAATAAAATTTGAAAGAAAACACATTTTGCATTCAATCCAAGGTATAAAATATAAACCCATAACCCATTAGAACCAATTTTGTCTCAAGCTTATTGATCACTCGTTTTTCTTTTATCTCAGAAAGAACACAAACCTAGGTCTCAACAAGAAGTTCATGCGCAAGAGCAATGCAAAATGGGTGAGCAGTGAATAAAAAAACTAAAAAAGAACGAGAGAGGGGATGTAGTAGCGTACCTCGATAAGCAGAGAAAGATGTATATAAACCCTAAAAAAGTACAGGCAAAGAAGCAGAAAAATGTACGGAAACCCTAATACGAGTGTTTGAATTTGAGAAATGGGTAAGCATGAAAATGTAATCGTAGGCAAAGTCGGTAATTTCTGGAAAACGTTTTATCGCTGGGCATGAGCTCGAGCTAATTTGTTCTTTCTTGCAACAGTGTACAGAGAGAACGAACCCTAAGGCTCTGTTTGTTTATGCAGGCGCGTATAACCGCAAATTTAACTTGACAGTTAGTTTTGGGTCGGGTTGGGCCGGGCCCATCAGTCGAATCCGGGTAGTGAACTGACCATTAATGAGCCAAATTGAATTCGTCCATGACAAAAACAAAATTGAATAAATACTAAAACAAAAAATAAATAAAAGGAGCTGTTACTTACACTCTAAAATGTGATCGTGCACCCTTTAAAATAATAAAACATTTTAGAGTGCGGATAAGAGTTGTCTAAATAAAAATAAAAATATGTTGTGAAAATATTTTATTTATGCAGCAAATGATGGATGGGAAAGCAGGATCTATGATGGGCAGCCCTAGATAGTGCTTGGTGCCCTAGAGCTAGAGATTGGGGGTACATTCTTCCTTTCAAAATTTGGAGGATTTAATCAACGGGATCTAGCCTAGTGAAAAAGAGCCTTAATTTGTAGACCAGCGGTCTCTGGTTCAAACTCCAACGACACTTTGATAATGTGTATATATGAGAAGGAAAATGCTAGGTTTACCACATTTTTCATACCACAATTGTACCACATCTCTAATAGAGGTGGGCCACATTGTATTGGTGGGCTCCACCTCTATTAGAGAGGTGGTACAATTGTGGTATGAAAAATGTGGTAAGCCTAGCATTACTCATATGAGAAACCTTCATCTCCTTGTAGTTTAGACTATCGCTTGTATTAATAAATAAATAAAATTTGGACGACTTAGAGCATCCACAATAGACTCTCTAAACCACCTCATTTAGGGAGGAATTGAAAAACTTCATCTCCAATCATATTCCCTATCCAACTCCTAAAACAATGAGACATTTAGAAGCTCCTAAATCTGAGGAAAGAGAGAGAGAGAGAGAGAGAGAGAGAGAGAGAGAACTTTTAGTGACTCCCTATAATTAAATTCTTATTTACTGTAATGCTAATTTAAGAATTTATTTAATGCTGATTAATTTTTATTATTATTTTATATGAAGAGGGAGCATTTATGCTAAACTAAAAAAGAAATAAATCATTTATGATTTTCTAAACTATGAAGCATGGGTGGAGTTGAAATTTTATAAAGAGCTCCTAAAATAGCTTTCTAGTGTTTTTAGTTAAATTTTAACTAAAAAATAAAGAGCATGATTGCGGATGCTTTTAGCTCTACAACACAATAATGTTGGCTTCTCACTTTTCCCAATACTCTTGCTAATTTCTCCCCTCTTGCATTTCAAACCACCTACCCTTTATTGCCGGCTGGATCAAAGGTTGGCAGCCTCCTACGATCAGTAATTGCCCTTACTTTGAAGGAGTTTGGTCTTATCTTATTATTATTTGTGTGACCACTCGGGCAAAATGTCTCTTGGCAGCCCTCATTGCATAGGCTTGCTTCCTCCTCTTAGGTTTGTTGTGTTCATCTGTTTGCTGTTTTCTCCTCTTAGTTTAGTGGCTTGGTAGTTCTTTTGTTGTTGCATACCTTGTTGTAACTATTTGGTGCAACAATCTACATGGAAATTGAGACAATGAAAAATCAGCTCCCTTAAAAAACCATTGAATAAATAGTTTCCGTACATAGTGTCGAAGGCTAATTCCAACATTTTGCCAGGATTTACTTGATACAATGTTACAACTACAGCATTATGCTACTACAAGTATCAGTAGCATAACCAGTTTGCCTTCTAGCCTCCTCTGTTCTCTGGATACAACGAAGGCAATAAACAAGTTCTATCATACAGAAGAAACACTAGGCTCATGCTTCTTATCAGCAAAAGTTGTGTGTATATGTAGTCCCGACGGCCCTTGAGGTTGTGGCAATTACACTAAATACCGCAAGAATTGTCTTGCAACTGAAGTTGGCATTGGTGATTACTCAGTTCACTGGATCTGCAACCTCTTTGATCCGCACCAACTTGAAAAGTCGATGCCCCGGAAAACAAGGTAAACTATAAATCCTAGATACCCAGCTGTGAAAGCACACATTACGAAGCCAACAAGCACCCCATTCACTTCAGACGAGAAGAAGTCCAGCAGAAGATAACCATTGATCACCATCACCAGGGCAGCCACAAGCCACGCAACAATCTTCATAGACAATAAAGAAAAAGATGTGAGCAATTCAACCATAATTTGCTTATTTCTGACTCATGAACAATTTTAAAAAACAAAGAAAAGGGAGAACAGCTTGAGTACATCATAGTATAATCAATTTGAGGTGCTTTTATCTAACAAAGGAACTGAAAACTGCCACAGCGTAATCAGAAATTGAAATAAGATAACAAGCAACCATTCACCCTCAAAGGAATATTCCTTGATTCTTGATCTATCACTAATGAAGTTAATCAACATAAGGGAAACGAGTAATCTAAACTCTATTTTCAGCTAGACTATGAAATTCAGTGCAGGTGAGACACTTTATTTTCTCAACCCCATGGAACGGTAAAGGGAGAAAAAGAAAAACATTCAATCAAGTATTACAGAATAATTAATGAAGCACTTGAACGTCTGTCCACTAAAAATGCTGTTCTATCACCAAATCTGCAGCACACAACCATGATTTATCTTACAATTAGATTACGGAGACAGTTATCGTATTATTCTATCAGTGCAATAGATTCTCAAGTCATGGGGCAGTGCACTTATTTTTGCGGTTTGCTAGTTATGTATAAAGCGAAACCTACCTGATTTGCATAGACAGAAAAATCACCGGGCATTATTGTTAAAATCTATACAAAAATTTGAAATGCAAATGCCATCATGGACTTTATGGCCTAGATGCAGAACAAAGGAAATAACATACCTTGAGAACAGGGCCAATTTTAAAAACTCCCATGATTTGCTCCTTTGACACCAAGAAAAGCAGGGGAATAAGTGCAAACGGGATCTGAATTGACTGAAGCACATTAAGCCACTCATTCAAAACATCTAATGTGTCCTCTGATGTATCAAATACAAGAGCAACTATTATAGTTGGGATGATTGCACAGCTTCGTGTAATCAAAGCCCTCATCCATTTTTTCAATCTCAAGTCTAAGAAACCTCCCATAATGAACTGCCCTGCATAGGTACCTGTAATAGTGCTACTCTGGCCAGCTGCTAACAACCCAATACCCCAGATGTACAAAATTGGGAACACCCCACCCCCATACTTCTCTTGAAGATACTCCCCTGCATTTACAAGGCCTATACTGTCTGCCAGGTCTGTACCATAAAACCCCTTGGCAAACACAGTGGTAACAAATAGGTTGATAGCGAAGGAGATAACAAGAGCAATGGTGGACTCTATGCTATAGTAATTGAGAGCTTCTTGAACTCGTCCTTTCTTGCTGTGATCAATCTCCCTTGATTGTACAAGAGCTGAGTGCAAGAATACATTGTGAGGCATAATTATGCAACCAACAACTCCAACAGCCTGCTTTATTGTTCTGGAGCTAAGTTTAGGAACCAAAATACCTACAAAGAGGAATCCACATGATAGTAGATTAGATGAAGAGGTGCAAAGTAGCACGACCTTTTTGGCCTGAATCACCTATTGCTACATATATATATGTGTGTGTGTGTGTGTGTGTGTGTGTGTGTGTGTGTATAACTGATAAGAAAAATCACAGATAGAGGAGTAGAATCCAATACCAATAAGAAGTTCGGTGCCACTGGGTTTAGCTTCCCCAAACATCCATGCAAATGTCAGTGCCATTGTTGCAATCAGAACTGCGAACACTGCTTCCAGCTTCCTCACACCATAATTTTCAAGAAAAAGAAAGATGAAACTGTAGCAAGGAACCAAATGAAATTATTTTCGAGTTATCAATTCTAAAATAGTTGCAAGTTCAAGGGAAAAAAATTTGGTTCAGTTCTAAGACAATGCAGGAAAAGAAAGAAACTAAAAGCTTGGACTATCAGAAACTTTATTCTTTTGAACCTTAAAAACTGAAAATTAGTCAGCGAGAACTAATAAATCTATTCGGCATGGTTGAAATGAGCTTCACTTTCCAGAAATGAAATATTTTTAAATCTTGGATTTTCCAGGCAACCAAGCAGAATTCAATCCTTCACTTTGAATAGACTCTCAAATTCCTGATTTCTAACAACACTACATCTTTCTATAAACTGAACTAAGTCAACTGGCTGACTAAGAACTTCAAAACTTTAACAAAACTACAGAAAGAGCCGAAACCACTGGCCCTCTGAAAATTGTGAAAGAATCAAACATACTCATATCAAAGAAAAGCCACAGAAATTGCTTGCACATTAAATTTAATCAAAAAAAAAAAAAAAAAAAAAAAAAAAACCCAAACTTCAGACAAGAACTCAAAAATTCATAAGAAAGACGAACCAAAAACACAAAATAGAGTTCAAGAAATGACCAATCCAAAGCGGAAGACGACCCCAAACCAAAAGCGGCAAAGCCCCATTACTCAAAATCTTAATTGCAATCGCACCCCAATAACCTCCTGTATATCAGCCCCAATCAAAGCCAACTCTGCCATCACCCAAAGCACCATTCTCGCCCACGTCGGGTACTCATCTCTACACAGCTCAGCCAAGTGCCGCCCAGTCGCCACGCCGAGCCGAGCCGACAACAGCTGAACCAAGAGCCCCATAGCCGTGGCCCACATGAGAAGCCACAGCAGCGAGTTTCCAGCTATCGCACCCGCCTGAAGATCGCCCTCCAAATTTCCAGGGTCGAGGAAAGCGATGCTCATCAGAAAGCCAGGGCCGGTGAAGAGCCAGAGCTTCTTCCATGAAAACGGCGGCGTCTTGAAGTCGTCGTCTAACGGTTCGTCAATCCCGACCACGTGGACCTTATCGGCCGAGTCGTAGGCCGTCTCGGGCTGGTCTTGTTCTGAGTAGACTAAGAGTGGCTGCGAGTGGTCGTGAGGCGAAGACATGGTATATTGGTCTGGAATTGCGTGCCGGTGAGTGTATGGATTGTCTCTGTGCCACGATGGTCTCAGTGTGATTTTCAAGCTTTGGTTTGCTTCTTCAACTTTATCGTTGTGGGATAATGGGAGAGATCATGAAGCTCAGAAAACTGCCAGTCCGTCTTCTCCTTTTTCTTTTGCTTTTCTCTTCTTCTTTTTTCTTTTTTTAATATTGTAAATTTTGTTTTCGATATTTTAATTATTTATAGTGTTACTGCTTTTTTTATCTTTTTTTTGTGGTCAAAGTGTTACTGCTGTTATGGTTGCTTTATTCAATTTGTCGCGTTTTGGGATTTCTAAATATAGAGCAGACGTTATTCTCTGGTTGACGAATCATAGCTTGCCAAGTAATGTTCTAAATTCATTCTGCAGACTTTATTTATGGCACGAGAAAACTTGTGTGAAATTGTTTTTGTCGTGTGGTGAACAATCTAGTTGAAACATAAGGAATGCTAATTACCTCCCATTCTTTCCTTTTGTACTCGATTTATGCCATGTACATTTGAATGACATATAAATCCATGTATTTCGTGTGCATTCCACACACACTCATAAAAATAAGGAATTATAGAACGACAGAAAATAAATTTTAATCAATACCCATGTTATAATATGAGTGAACGACAGAAAATAATATCACTAAATATCCACTTATATTATAGCATATGTATAAAATATACACATGGGCGTACTAATGTAATATTCTACAAACAAAATACTAATATATTGCATTAAATATATAAATTTATGTATGACTCCCATATAAACCTATGTTTTCCACATTACACTCATGTATAAAGATTTTATTCTCTTTACGAGCAAAATATAATATTTTGTATTCAATATATAGATTTATGTGTGTATTTCATTCATAAATTTATTTATTCCACATACATATAAAGATCTGTATCCATTTTACACACAAAAACATTCGTATTTTGTATTTATATAAATTTATGTGTATGTTAAACACGTAATATAAACTGAATAAGAAAATCAAATAAGAAAAAAATAAAAGGAAAGACAACTAGCATTTCTCATTGAAACACTGCAGCATCTTAAAATTGATTTTTAATCGAATTGTAATAGCCTTTTTTTTTCTTTGCTGTGTTTATTTTAATCAATACCCATCCTTTTATTACGTCATATTTTATTCTTTTTGCAGGGTTCATAAATTTTTACTATTTTTCTTTATGAGATAATAATTAATGCAAGAAAATCACAGACCTCCTCGTCGTGGACCAAAAGGCTCATATGTCGACACAATGACACCTACCCTAGACTAAAACAAAATATCTGTCTTCACCTCCACTTCACGTCAATAAAATCATTCATCCTCGCCGTTTAATGAAGCTTTCGTGTTTAAAGTTAAAACACATCAAATCCAATACACAGCTGCGTGACTGTACATACCACACAGCCCTTTGTGGACCCCTCGGAATAGTGACATGTCCTTCTTATGACTCTTATCCAAAAGAAATTACAAGTAATATTTGTTTTGAGAAAAATTACCAGTAATATTAGATAAACTAGCGTACTGTATTAACTTTTGAACACCAACTTTATTAAAAAAAATTAAACTTTTGAACAACAACTAATAATGTTTCATTTGCTTTTTGCCTTGTAGCTTAGTTGATTAATAGTGTTTATTTTTGCACTCGAGTACTTAGGTTCGACCTCTTTTCTCAATTACAATTGTATTGGAAAAAAAATAAATAAAACGTTAATTGGTGTCTAAATAGTTGATATAAACTCGTTTAAGAATAATTCTAGATAAAGCATAACTACTTTTAGGGAGAAGCATATCTAATGTGCTTCTTCATATAATCATTTTTAGTGATTTTAAATTATTTTTGGAAGAAGCACCTCATATGTATTTTTACATAAAATTACTTAAAATGATTATATTGAGAAGTTATTGTTCATAATTTTTTTAATAAATTGAAGTTTTTAGTATGTATGTACTGGAATAGGATCTCTGACAAAATTAGTTGGTAAAGGGTGAATTTTTATAGATACAATGAATTAAGTGAGTCGACCATAACAATATATTCGCCTCAAGTTTAATTCCCCTTCTCGCACATTAAAATAGTTTAAGAATAAATTTATGGTAAAAAAACACAAACGCAAATAACCACATGGGAATCAATAATGAGGGGGGAGCCCGTTAAAGTAATTTGGAGAGTTGGGAGGGCGTGGGAAGGGTGCGCGTAATGGCGCCAAGTGTGTGGAGAACGCGTGTTGTAGTATTTTGTCGTGGATGGGCTTGTGGATGCACGGGACTTTCCGTGCGGCTTCGTATGACCCCTTCACGACAAACCCAACTACCACCAAAGTTTCGAAATTCTCCACATGGATGCGCAGGTCACTGGTTTCTCTTTTCGGCTTGGTGAGATACGGAGAGTGCATGGCCCAGCCATCCAAAATCCCCAAAATAATGCACTCAATTCCACTTGATGCCAAAAATACCATGCCATTCATTTTCTTATGGTAATGTCAGTCTCATAGTTCTAATTTATAAGTCCAAATTATTGAGAAATAAGTAGATGCCATACTTGATGTCGAAAGATATATTCCTCTAATAATAAAAAATTTATTTTCTATTTTATTTCACTAAATAAGATATACTTTAATTTTGACACTTTTTTAAATTATTTTATTTGAGATACACTTTGTTGTCATTTTATTGAACCCCCATAATAATTCCTCACAAAAATATTGAAGATAGTCATCAATATGAGTATGCCCACGTGGTATATCTTGTATGTATTATAATATAAGTGGACGACATGGTTAAGATTTTTTATTTTATGAGATAATATTATTAAATATTTATTTACATTATAACAGGTAAATGAGTTATAATATCGAGTCATATCCATTTCCAAATTATAATTATAAAAAGTTGATATATATCTAAATTCTCATTGAGAAGTTGGTTTTAATTCTCGGAATTAGTGACTTTGACACAAGTTCTTGGCTTTTATGCCACGTAAGATTACATTAATTTTTAATATTTTCTGATGTAATCGTGCTTATTTTTTATTCCAGTATTGCTCCTTATACCTTGAATCGGTAACTGTAATTTATGTGATAATTACATAAAAGAATTGATTATGACCATAATCAATTAACAAATTAAGTGCTTATGACCATAATTTGATATTTGTAATATTAATTTTTTTTTTTTTTTTTTTTTTTTTTTTTTTTTTTTTTTTGTTTAATTGCCATGAATTCTATTAATTGTATCCATGATTTTGTATATTAATATTGTCTTTTTTTTCTTCTTCTTTAACCCAAAAAGATCATTGGCTTTCTTTCTTATTCTTTGCGACCTCTTTATTAGGTAAATTGAAGAAGAATAATGTTACTCTTACCACATTTGTATACCACATCTTTATACTATCTTATGTGGCAGTTGAGGTGGACAGCTACATCAATTAAAATTATTTAATATTTTTTTCTTTTATGATTTATTCTAGTATTGTTTTTCTAATTGCCTTAATTAAAATACACTTAATTGATTTAATTGATGTGACATATAAAATGGACATGACACATCATGTGGTATAGAAATGTGGGATAAAAATGTGATAAGTGTAGCATTACTCGTTTACCTTATGCATAGGCACATAATTTCATGTGGATGCTTGTCTTATTGATTAGTATAATATGTGGGTCTTTACATTTATTAATTACATTGTATTTTATCCATATATTAGGTAAATATTCACAAGGAAATAATTCAAATTTTAAATTATAAAATTCAATTACAATAAAATAATGCATTAAATTTGAATTTTCAATGTGTTTATTTATTTACCTCAAATGGTGAAATCTACACGACAACAAAATCAAAGTTCTTGCATCGAAAACCAAAATGACGAGGACTTGGCCTAATGACAACTAATCATTTTGAACTTAAATATAAGAAGCCCTTATAATTAGTCCATGATTAGTTGATACAACTTCACTCGCCACCTCATTTGTCATCTCATCATCTAGTATTCATTCAACGTTTGTTGATCAAAATCTGTCTAATTATAAATCTATATAGATTAGTTGAGAGCATTGACTTAATATACGTTTTTCTTAAATATAGATTAGTTGAGAGCATTGATTTTTTTTCTTTTTCTTTCATAAAATATAGAAAATCTCTCAGTTTACATCAAATAGAGCCGGACCTTAACTCGTTCATTTAATGGATTTAAGTTGGCCCATTTCCGACCCGAAATGTTTAGATGACCTAGGCATGCACCCACAATAACATATTTCTTCTTCATCCTAGCCTATTGGCTAGTGGCTAAAAGTTCCCAACAAGGTGAGAGGAGATATACATTCTTCTGTCACATCTATCTGTCATTTTTACTTCGTGAACCCAACAGCAGCCTTTTGCCCCTTTCCCTTTCAAATCAATGGCTTGGCTTCAATGCCGAAGGAAAGGTGGATTGTGTGGAGAGAAGTGGTTGCAAGTTGCAACTTTGCTTAAATACAGTTACATGCTATGATGTCTTCAGATCCCTTTCTCAGAACTTCACTGTGATATTTTTTCTTTTACATTTTGATTCTTTATTTTTTGGGTTTTTGTTCATAATTGCTTTGTGCTCCACTTCTCCACTTTTTTGCCGGGGACGTGACACATATCCTCTTACTAGGCTTTCAAGTTAAGCTAACCGTAAAATACAAGTAGCCATAGCTGTCGAGAGGATTGATTTATTCGTTATATCTCTCTCATCACGTGAGATGGACCTAATCAAATGTTTCGTAAAAGTTTTTATGTGTCTGGAGTTATCCGCAGTACAATCAATTGTGGAACTTCATAAACACTGGACTTGGACTTTAAATTGGTAGGATCGACTTAGGCCTATTGCAAATAAAACAATGGGCCTAATTTATTGTGAATCTGGCTTTAGGCCCAAAAGATGTCGTCTTGTTTTATTTTTCTGAAAACTGATCGCATTAAGCAATGAAAATATAAATTATACATCAGTCATTTGAATTTACAGTCCGAAGGACGGGACATATCCCTCAATTTGTCCAGAAAAAAAAGAAAAAGAAAAAAAAGGGACATGTAATTAGTTCTCTCTCCAAGAGTAAAATGTTTGGTCACCTATAAGAAAAAAAGAAGAAGAAGAGGAAAATAGGAGGTTTAGTCTATTTAGCACGGACACCACATTGATCGTTGGACACGGGTGTCTGAGGAGTGTCCGAGTGTCCAACACTCCAACACTTGGGCTCAGTGGAGTATCCGTGTAACATAGAGTTTAGTCCCGTGCAGCAAATAACTTTCTAACTTTGCGAATGGATCTTCGGCATATTGGACATATTTTGCTCTCCCCATAAAAAATCCTGCAACATGTATTCTCTGTAAGATAACAAAATTCAACACAAACCAACATGTTCTGAAACGTTTCTAATGTTTTAGGCTAAGCACACACACACCTCTGTGCACAGACGTAGCAGGTAGCACAATGTCCACAAGGAACCAAAAAACAATCCCTTTGCTCAGTGTAGCAGATCACACATATTTTCCCATCATACAAGTCCTCAGAGGAGCTTGTAATTGGGCCATTGCTACTATTACTGCTGCTGCTGCTGCTGTTGCTGCAATTTCCGGATTCTATATCGCACTCGTCACATGTCCCGTATGTTACTGGCATCGTCTTTCCGGGTTGTAACGTGCTTGTTTCAGTACTTTCTCTTATATCCTCTATACCGCCCTCCTCACCATCGTACTCATTTATGTACTTCAATATCATGTATGCAACAATCACAAGCAATGCTGCATTAATATATGGTTGAAGCTGCATTAGTTTGTAGGCATAAGTTATTAACAAAAATTTCAATTTTAATTTTTCGACAAAATCTTACTTAGAATTCCAACGTATGCAATCAAACGGGCTAGAAAAGTAAGCGTAATGCACCATTCCACCTGATCATCCTGTAATTGTACAAGGAGAAATCAAGATTGGTTAAAAAAGTTCATTATGCAGATACTATTACATCAATAAAATGAACATATGTAATGCCTTACGTCATAGGTGGTACTCGTTAAATTGTACGATTGAGAGTTGATCGATTGAAGCTTCCGGTGCTTCAGTCCATCTATTATGGAACACATTCCTACGGCTCTGCTATGATGCTTCCTGTGGTTATAATAATTTTTTCCCCTGCAGTATGAAAACAGAGATTTTAATGACATGCAGTGGCGGACCTATTAAGGCGCAAGGAGGTGCTGCACCTCCTTTCGCCGGAAAAATCATGTAGGTGCTTCAAAATGCCATTTTGCTCAACTGGTGTACAGATTACTTTAAGTTTACAATGTAAATAAAAATAAATTAAAGTAAAAGGACAAAAACATTTACTTAAGTTTACAATGTAAATAAGGAAGTACCCCCATTTGGATTCAAATAAAAATACTAGAAAATCAAATTCCCACCAAATCAAAATAGGAAAAATTGGTTTTAGTGCAAAGTACGATTTAGGCTAAAAATGATGGCTCATTAAGTCAATATATACTTTATATTAAAATCCCATAAAATCAAGTTTTTGTTATTTGATGTGTAGGGAATAAAAGCCGCCAAAAATTATCTTGAGAAAATTATTATTCCAAAAAACCATTTTTCATACTTAGTCAATATTGCACATTTGTTAAAAAATTTCTGGATCCGTGTGTGTTCCTAAATATAAAGTAATAGACAATTTTAAGATCTGAGGCCTCAACCAACGTTAGAAGCTCATGAACCTATAAAATTAGTTTAACATGTAATGGTTGGACAAGTCACAAGGGGAAAGATCTAAGTCAAATGTTCGTATAATTAAACCCAAAAAAAAAGAAGAAAAAAACATGAGCAAAATGAAAATTTGAAAATTCATAGATGTATATAAAAAGCCTTTCTGCATTACCTCAAAAGGCCTTGAATATAGACCCGAGTTCAACTCCGGCTTTCGCAGGATCCATGGAGAAACGCAGAGCACTTTGAGTACATTTCAGAAGGGAATGTCAATCTCCTCAGTTTTCATAGAGATCTCACTGACAAAATGTGAAGAAAAGTTGCTGCTCTGTGGACAAATTTTGCTAATAAGATGAAAGACTTGTACATTTAAGAATATATTAGCAATGTGGGAATAATGTGCACACAGCCTGTACCAAAAAAATTTGGTAGAAGCTAACAAGGCTTCACTTGAATGGCTTTGAACATGAGCACAGAAAGGTGGTCCTTAGAAGCCAGACCAGGTTGGAAAAGACACTGACTGAGGTGTGATGGACATCAAAGATAGACTGGTAGTTGTTCATCTGGGCAATCTTCTTAACTAACCATCTTTTGAAAAAGTCTGGCGGGTAAGGGAAAATGCAAGACTTTCTGTGTGTCTTGAATGGTAGGTTGGCCGTTTTGGGGTAGGCAGGTGAGCACCAAACTCCAATTTTGGAATTGGAACATGGTCCAACTTGAAAGTGAGATGAAAGTAGAAACTGCTTGACCTTACTAATTTACTATCAGTTAATGTAATGGTAGGGTCAGTTTGGAAATAAAAAAATTATTAGAATAAATCAAAATAATTGTTTGCAAATTTGGACAGGTTGTCAAATCTCAAATGTTCATTTGAGTAAAGTCAAACTTTGGTTTTGTTATTTTTTTCTTTGGGTTCATTAAACCTTAGCCCAAAGACAATCATATAAAGAAAAAAGGCTGACCCAAGTACATAAATAAACTCAATGAAGGGCCAACCATAAAGCAACAATGAAGCCTTAAGAAAATAAAACCAACACCAAGTACAAACCCAAATCAGAAGCCCAACAAAAAACAAGAAAATCCCCCTAAGCAGAGAAATTTTGAAATTGAAATCCTAGTACTGAATTTTTTTAAAATTTATATCTTATTACATTATGGTTTAGGTCAATAATTATATATTGAAATGAAATGAAAAACCCCTTAGGGCTCGTTTGATAATCATTTCAATTTTAGTTTTTAGTTTTCATTTTTTGTACTAGAGTATACAGGAAAAAGAGGAAGAATAAAAGTGAGAATGAGAGTGAAGATGAGATTGAGAGGAAATATGAGAGGGGAGAGAATGAGAGGAAGAAGTAACAAAAGTGAAAACCAACTAAAAACTGAATCTATTTGAAATTGTTTTTACTTTTGTCACTACTTCATCCCATCATTCCCTCTCATCCTCTCTCTCAATTTCATCTTCATTTCCATTCAGATTCATATTATCATTTTCCTTTAGACTATAAAAAATTAAAAATTAAAAATTAAAAATTAAAAATTAAAATTAAAATTGAAATGAATTATCAAACAGACCCTTAATTTGGTGATTGTAAATATATTAAGGATAATGATTTCACCACTTCAATTTTATCTACTTACACTCCTTTTTTAATTATAAAATAGAATGTAAATAGATAAAATTGGAGTGAGAAAATCACCACTCTATATTAATTCATCTTTTAATTTTCTTTTTCAATATTCGAATTCGAGACATCTTCTAATCAAAAGGACAAAAGTATCACTAAATCGACAGCAAACTGCACTGGTTTTGTCCTCCATGGATTTTGTACAGGTGGCCCTGCCACATGAAGTTAAAAAACCCAACAGATCGAATGGACAAGTAGAGGTAGTATTTGTTGTTTGGCTGTGCGGGCCCAATATCCCATGCAAGCATTGAGCAGTGGGGAGGCAACGACGGGCTTACTTTTGGCATGCATTGCATGCTTTGTTGTTAAAGGCAGTGTTCTCTTCTGCATGTTGTTCATCAAGTACACAAAAGTGATTGACAACAAATTCATCAAGCGGTCCATTCAGATGACCCCAAAAAACTGCCCCCATAATTGGCTTGGGATTATTGAGGAATATATCAGATATATGTATGCTTTCTAGCTGGAACTTATTTTCACTTTTGATAAAGAATTTAGAATCAATTATAAATATACACGTATTATAATATTGGTAGATTAGTAAAAGTTACGTGCACTAAAAGTTTACACGCTGACTAGATCCATCTTTTCGGGTGGGCAGGCAGGATCCCTTTTTCTCTAGATGATTTATCAGACACTTTGCATTAGTTGCATTAGTGAAGCAAAATATAGAAATTAACAATTACAAAGTGTGATTAGATTGTTCGTTGAATGAGAGACATTGGAGTTAAAGTTGGTAAAAGTGAGAAATGTGAACAATTACGCACTTAGGTCCAAACCAAACACTAAAATTTCTTCTTTTGAAAAGAAAGAAAGGAAAAAAAAGAACCCTACGATCAAACTGCGGGTTTGTTACAAATGTGTCCCCATAGACACACACATTGCTTTCACCAAAGTCCGTCTTGTCTGGAAGTCTCATCAACTTTGCACTCTTTTTTGACATAGATACTTGGCTTTCGTCAAATTTTGTTTTTTCTTTCTTCTGCTCCAAAACCTCAACCTCAAATTTGGTTGAATGTTCAATGTTCTGTCGCACTTTAGTGTCGATCTATATTCAGAGTTTTCTTTTTCTTTTTGTGGAAAAAAAGAGAGAAGGCAAATTCAACATAAAAGTCGACCAACAGAACCCTCCTGGAAACTTCATGCATTGTACATTAGCATGAGAAAAAGGAGGACTTAAAAAGAAAGAACAAACAATAAAGGTTGCAGTACGCTTGAAAGAAAAGCACCAAATCATATTAAAGATCCAGTTGTAATTTCTAGCCTTGTAAAAATAGATTTCAGTCTCTGTAATTTACAGATTAATCAAATCCTTACACGAGGCATTGCATATTAGATAGCAGGGATAATAAGGAAACAATTGTACTTGGTATCGGATATTAATTTACAGTACTATTGCAAATGTCCTAGATAAGAAAAGTTGATATTCGATATTAGCCAATCACTCTCGTAGGTAATATTTTTCTTTTTTTATGTCTGATTAATTGCACTGCTAGAAATTTAGTAAAGACTGGGCCGCCCCTTGGCCAGGGCAACTACGACCACTACCCGGGGCCCACGATTTAGAGGGGCCAAAAAAAAAAAGTCTATGTATATGCATATGCAAAAAAATAAAAATAAAAATAAAAATCCTCATAAAAAGATAAAATAAAACTAAAAGTAAAGGGGCATGTGTGATATTTATTGAGAGTCTCACTTGGTAGTATAAAACAATAATAAATAAAGGCACACACATATGCAAACAAATCTAGAAGCAAAGGGAGTCAACATTATTGTTTTTCCAAGAACCAGACGGAGACTCTTGAAATCAATCGAATTTTATTTTGTTCTCTCCAAAATTGAGTGCGAAAACAAAGCCATTTTGAGTTGGAAATTGATTGATCTCTCTGAAATTGGGAGCACCAGCACCAGAGCACAACATACAAAACCTAAAATATAGGGTTTATTGTTCTTTCTAAATTAAAATTATTAAAATTTTATTTGTGGACAATCATGGCTCAAGATAGACTAAATGGACTAGCAATATTATGCATTGAAAGAGATATGTTGTAAAACATTAAATATGATAATATAATTGATGATTTTGCTTCTAAAACTACAATAAGTAGACATTTTAAATGATCTTTTGTGATTGGGATTTCATTGCTATTTTTATTTTATAAGCGCATATGAAAGTGAAGCATGGGGACACATGCAAGTTAATTTGTTGTTGAATGTAATGTTTTTAATCAGGTACTCTTTTTCCTTCGTTTGAGGTTTTGTTCCCATTGAGTTTTCCTGAAACAAAGTTTTAATAGGGCCCAAAGTGCTCTATATTATCTGTTTTTGTACTCTTATAATTTTTTAAAAAATTATTATTTGATATAAAATTAAATTATTATTTATTTATTTATAAAGGGCACATTCTTAGACTTTGCCTTAAATCACCCAGGGCCGGCCCTGAGTAAATATCCTTTGGTTGACAAAAGCTGCACTTACTTGCGGCAGTCGATCGACTCGACACCTTTTGTTTCTTTTTATTCCACTACAGAGCAAGAGACGCACTAATTAGTAACATGATGTTATAGTATTCTATTAATTTTTGAATTTGAGTTTGAATACAACTTTTTGTACCGTTCGAACTCACAATCTAATTTATTATCTTTTTAATATAAGCAAGATTCATTCATTCGTGTTGTCTTAATATAGAGAGCTTCGATGCA